GTCTTTGGTGACCCCTCTGACACCCTTCTCGCGACCCCCTCAGAGGACCCAACCCTCAAGTTGAGAAACACTGAGCTAATGCATGCAGCTGCCTTGAGTCATGATACTCTTTGCTGTTCCCCATCTCCATACACTTGGGGAGGGATCACCATCCAAAATGAGGCCCCAAAGACCCCCGTCTCTTTGTGGGCAATGCAGAGATGCCTCCCCGCTGTGTGTCCCTGGAACTCACTGCCACCAGGTTGATGAGGGAGACAGCGTTGTAGGAGACGCCCCAGAGGGTCATGGCACCCACAGTGTCCACTACAATCATGACGATGGTGGCCAGGTTGATGGCCCCGGAACGGATGTCCATGCCCAGCAGGACACAGCAGACGATGAAGGTGGGCACAAGGCAGAGGATCACGTTGATGAGACCCGTCAGGGCGATGGTCAGGTACTGCTCATAGAAGACGTAGGTGATGCTGCGGAGGGAGAGAGCAAGGGTCACAGAAAGTACTGGACCAGCCCGGGTGTTAAGATTTTCTGGGGAGGCCCTGCTCTTGGTCTCACCCCTTTTGCAGGCACAGCTGGTGGGAACAAGAGTCAGGGTCTCCTCAGTGGTGGCCCTACAGCTATGGAACTCCCTCCCTAGTTAATTCAGATCAGGCCCCTTCCTCCTGTCTTTTAGAAAGTAAGGTAAAACCTGGCTATGGAACCAAGTGTTTGGAGAGCAGTAGAGGGCAACATGCAGCCATGCAGTGAATGTAACGTAATGTAATTGTCCTCCCAACCCTGCTATACATCTGCGAGACGTGGACTGTCTACAGACGTCACATGCAACTCCTGGAACGATTCCATCAGCACTGCCTCTGGAAAATCCTGCAAATCTCTTGGGAAGACAAGCGGCCAAATGTCAGTGTGCTGGAAGAAGCAAAGACCACCAGCATTGAAGCGATGGTCCTCCGCCATCAACTCTGCTGGACCGGCCACATTGTCCGGATACCTGATCAGTGTCTCCCAAAGCAGTTGCTCTACTCCGAACTCAAGAATGGAAAACAGGATATTGGTGGGCAGGAAAAGAGATTTAAAGATGAGCTCAAAGCCAACCTTAAAAACTCTGGCATAGACACTGAGAACTGGGAAGCCCTGGCCCTTGAGCGCTCCAGCTGGAGGTCAGCTGTGACCAGCAGTGCTGTAGAATTTGAAGAGGCATGAATGGAGGACGAAAGAGAGAAACGTGCCAAGAGGAAGGCGCATCAAGCCAACCCCGACCGGGACCGCCTTCCACCTGGAAACCAATGCCCTCACTGCAGGAGAAGATGCAGATCACAGTCACCTATGGACCCACCAGTACACTGATCTTGGAAGACTATCCTACTTGGACAATGAGGGATCACCTAAGTAAGTAAGTAAGTAAGTAATGTAATTGGAATGGGTTCTGGATTATGATTTTGGATCTAAGTGCATCTTATTTAATGTGTTTATATGCTATTGTTTGCATTCCTTCAACAACTGCTTTGTTTATAAACTGAATTCTGGAGTGATGAGATTGGTTTAAAGGTGCCCTTCCAATCCTGGTGTGCGACAAGCGTGGATCACCGTGGCCAAATCTGACTCCAGAAGGTACGGATACAACTGGCGCACAAGTTTTAACTGTACAAAAGCTCCCCTTGCCACGCCAAGACCTGGGGTTCCAGGCTCAGCAATGAATCCAGCATGACTCCCAAGCTGCAAATCCCATCCAGCACAGACTGTAACCGTATGCCCTGTTCGGCCTTGCGACTGACCAGGAGGACCTCTGTCTTGTCTGGATTCAATTTCAGTTTGTTCACCCTCATCCAGACCATCACAGCCACCAAGCACTGGTTCAGGACCTGGACAGCCACCTTAGCAATGGATGGAAAAGAGTGATAGAGCTGGACGTCATCTACGTACAGATGGCATCGAACTCCAAAACTCTGAATGATCTCTCCCAGAAGCTTCATGCAGATGTTAAACAACATGGGGGACAATATTGAGCCCTGCAGGACCCCACAGAACAAAGGTTGTTGGGGCGAGCAGGTGTCCCCCAGCAACACCAGGTATGGAACTTTAACCTTGGAGACACGTGCCAGGTAAGCAATGGGGAGATCGCCAAAGGTGGCGTGATGCCCAAACCATCTCCAAAAATGATTGAGGGTGACTTGCATGGTATGTGTTTTGCTTTCTGTATAATAAACCTAAACCTTTTCCAACCACAACTGGTCTCTATTGTTGCTTCTGAATCAAAAGAAAAATCCCAAACTTCTCTTGCATTTGGCAAGACACCCCCCAGTGCCACTGCCGCCTCCTTACGTGTAGGGGAAGACCTGGAAGTCGGGGTCGGTGCCGGGCACTCGCCGCAGGCTGGCCGTGATGTTCTTGGCCAGCTCCCTGGCCACCTTCAGGGCCTCTGTGTATTCTTGGGAGTTTTTCAGTGGAGTGTGGTAGGCCATGAAGCGGGAGGCTGCAGATGCGGATAGGAAATAGGCGTTAGGATCCACATCTGTGCTTGCCATAGATGCAGGGGAAACGTCAGGAGAAAATGCCTCTAGAACATGGCCATATAGCCCAAAAAAACCTACAACAACCCAGTGATTCCGGCCATGAAAGCCTTTGACAATACAGAGTCAAAAAATTGCTGAGTCAAGATGACAAAGCAAGCGTAGAGCATTCCTGGGAATCCATCTCACCCGGCATATTATTTCTCTGAATTATTACCATCTGGCAGACAGTACAGGGTGACAAAGGCAAGGACAAACAGACTGAGAGAGAGCTTTTATCCTAGAGCTGTAACTATATTGAACTCAATGGCTTCGCATCGATGTGGCATTGGGGGCTGTGCAGTGGTGGTTGGAGTGTGGAGGGATGGGGGTGTTGTTTTGTGATGTGTGCTGGGGAAGGCATTTAATAGCAGAATGACAATAATGTTATTGTATTCTATTGTATTTATTTATTTATTTATTTATTTTGGGTACTTTTACCCTGCCCTTCTCAACCCCCGAGGGGGGACTCGGGGTGGCTTACAAAAGGCACAATTCGATGCCTATACAAATTACACATAATGTACAAAACCATAGTTAAAACAATTATCACAGTTAAAACAATCAAAACAATCAGTATATAACACATCATATAAAACTATTCTCATGCTCAGCGTTTCGTCTTTCAGAGTTCCATATTTCCATTCCATTAGTCATTTCCTGACCATTGTCAAGTCCTTTCTTTATCTGCCCGATTGTCCAAATGCCTGGTCCCAAATCCATGTTTTCAGTTTTTTCCTAAAGGAAAGGAGTGATGTTGCTGATCTAATTTCCCCAGGGAGTGAATTCCACAGGTGGGGGGCCACCACCGAGAAGGCCCTGCTCCTCGTCCCCGCCAAGTCTCACTTGTGATAGAGGTGGGACCGAGAGCAGGCCTCCCCAGAAGATCTTAAACTCTGAGGCGGGACGTAGAGGGAGATGCGTTTGGACAGATACGCTGGGCCGACAGTATAGGGTTTTGTAGGTCAAAACCAGCACTTTGAATTGTGCTCGGAACTGGATCGGCAGCCAGTGGAGCTGACATAACAGAGGGGTGGTATGCTCCCTGTATGACGCTCCGGTGATTAATCTGGCTGCCGCCCACCAGACTAATTGGAGTTTCCAAACTATAACTCCCAGGATTCTGTTCATGTATTCGTGTATATACCTGGTGTTGCTTGAGTGTCATTGGGACCCTGCCTACTTTCTCCCTTCACCAGCTCTGAGAAAGAAGACCTTCCTTACAATAGCTTAGTTTTGCCACCTGGCAAAAGAGTACAGGGTGACAAAGGCAAGGACAACAAACAGACTGAGAGAGAGCTTTTTTTCCCTAGAGCTGTAACTATGTTGAACTCCAGTTTTCCAAGGTCCACACCCTTCTCTTGGTGCATTTACAGTATGGAGTGAATGCCCTTGCACCCTACTTTAAATGCCATGGAGTCGTAGTTTCCCAAGGTTCATATCAGGGGTCCTCAAACTTTTTAAACAGATGGCCAGGTCACAGTCCCTCAAACTGTTGGAGGGCCGGATTATAATTTGAAAAAAACATGAATGAATTCCTATGCGCACTGCACATATCTTAGTTGTAGTGCACAAAACACTTAAAAACAATACAATAATTAAATGAAGAACAATTTTAACAAATATAAACTTATTAGTATTTCAATGGGAAGTGTGGGCCTGCTTTTGGCTGATGAGATAGGAGTTGTTGTTGTGTGCTTTCAAGTCATTTCAGACTTAGGTTGATCCTGAGCGAGGGCCAGGTAAATGACCTTGGAGGGCCGTATCCGGCCCTCGGGCCTTAGTTTGAGGACCCCTGGTCCATACCCTTCTCTTGGTGCATTTGCAGTATGGAATGAATGCCCTTGCACCCCACTTTAAATGTCATGGAGTCTGCCTGGGAGTCATAGCTTCCCAAGGTCCATACTCTTCTCTGGGTGCATCTACACTGTGAAATGAAGGCAGCTGGACCTTACTTTAAATACCATAGCTCCATACTATGCAGTCCTGGGAGTCATGGTTTTCCAAGGTCCACACCCTTCTCTTAGTGCATTTACAGTATAGAATGAATGCCCTTGCACCCCATTTTAAATGCCATGGAGTCATCCTGGGAATTATAGTTTCCCAAGGTCCATACCCTTCTATAGGTGCATCTACACTGTGGAATGAATGCAGTTGGAACTTACTTTAAATGCCATATCTCCATGAGATGGTCTTGGGAATTGCAGTTTCCCAAGGTCCATGAACCTTCTCTGGGTGCACCTACACTATGCAGTTCTGGGAGTTATACTTTTTCCAAGGTCCATCCCCTTTTTCATGTTTGACAGTCGGGAGAGGGGGGGTCGGTGGGAGGGAGAGTGCATCGCCACTTTCCCTCCCTCCCTCTTTGCTTCTGGAATTGAAGACATGTAACAGCTGACATTTCAAAGAGAGGACGTTTTCCCCCCACCAAAAAATACAGGGGATGGATGATGGGTGGTGCTTAGTGATTACAGTGTGATGAGAAATGAACTGAAAGAATGCCGAATACAATTGAGTAACACGGATACATTTAACAGTGTGATGAAGGCAGGGAAATCATCTGTTTCATTTCAAAACTGAGTATGACTGAGCTCTACTCTACCACACACTTCCCTGTATTAATGTGATGAAGTCCTATAGTTAGATACCTGACTTGCCTATCTACAAATGTAGTTCCTTGAATAAAGCCTTTTGTAACTTTTGCAACTTGACTCTGCCCCTGTAAACTGCTGAAGCTCAATTGCTCTACTGCTGGCACGAGAAGCTTCAGCCACAGTAGTTTAGCAGATCAGATTAACAGTTTCTATGCTTTTTCCTTTTGAAATGAGCCCAGAAAGGAGGGTCACTCACCCAGCACCTGCCCCTCGGCCCCCAGCTTCACTGATGTGTCGTAGGCCCCCAGGCCCCTGCAAAAGGAGGAGGCGTCTCATTATGTGTAGAGGCAAATGTTCCCAATTACAAAAGGTATGAAATACTCAGTCTGTGACTGTCCCAACCTATGTGTCATACAATGAAGATCACATTCCTTGTATGTGATGAAGCTGAACACAGAGAGATGGACAGAGAGGGAGGGAAGTCATGGTCCCACTTTGCAGGAGAGCCTCCCACCCCCTTCACTGCCTCTCTTCCAGACTTCCTCCGTCTGTTCTCAATGGTCAATGCCCCATTCATTCACAGTGGTCAAGCCGCAGAGACAGTGGCCAGTTGCTCTGCTCCACCTGAAAGTCCGTGGGGCCCTTCCTTCCCCACCTTTGGTACGGTGTGACTCACCCCTTGGAGCACATCAGGTTGGGCTTGTCCTGGAGGAACCAAGGCAGGAAGCGGTGAAACTCCTCCTCACTCGGTCGCAGGGTGCCTTTGGGGACGGCCATGCACTTCTGCAGGCAGGTCAGGGTGACTATGGGGGGTGGGGGGGGAGAGACCAGGCTCAGACACATCCTTCCAACCCATTTGGGGGCTGCTCCCATTCAGCCCCAGACCTTGCAAGCAGTGCAAAGGGGCGCCACTTACAGTTGGTGGAGGGGCAGAACTGCCCCTTTTTGGGGCCAAAACTATGGATTTGGCAGCAGGTGGAGAAGGGGTTCAGCCAGTCAATGAAGTCGTCCACCCAGGAAGTGGCCGGAATGGCTAGGAAGGACCTGGAGGGGCAATATAATAGAATATTTATTTATTTAGAACTTTTGTATCTAGTTCTTCTCTATCTCCGTAGAGGGACTCAGAAAGGCTAACAGCAAAATTCAATGCTATACAATAAATCTATGTAAATAAAAATGTAATGTTTGTTTGTGGGATTAATATAACTCAAAAACCACTGGACGAATTGACACCAAATTTGGACACAAGACACCTAACAGGCCAACGAGTGACCACCACTCATTGCAACACTGAAAAACACAGCAAAAGAGACTTAAAAAGCCAAAAAACAAAAATTATATTACAACACATGCACAAAACCACATATATACACAAACACACATATATACACACATACACAAATATATACACACATATATGCATATATACACACACAAAACACATACCCAGAAAGGGGGAAGGAAGGAGGAAGGAAGGAGAAGAAGGAGGGAAGAAGGGAAGGAGAGAAGGAAAAGGAAGGATAAAAAAAGGAAAGAAGACAGAACTACACTTCACAGAGATCACATATAAAATATAAAATATTGTATTTATATCTTACATAGAAAGAAGGAAGAAGGAAGGAAGGAAGGAAGGAAGGAAGGAAGGAAGGAAGGAAGGAAGGAAGGAAGGAGAGAAGGAGGGATGGAACCAAAGAGCAAAGGGAGGGAGGAAAGAAACAGGTAGAGAAGGAAGGAAGAAGAAGGGTAACAAGAAGGAAAAGAAAAGAGGGAAAGGAAAGAGGGAGGGAGGAGAAGGAGAGAAGGAGGGGAGAGAAAAGAGGGAAAGAAGAGGGAAGGAGAGAAGGGAAGGAAGGAAGGAAGGAAGGAAGGAAGGAAGGAAGGAAGGAAGGTAAAAAAGTGAAAGAAGAAAGGAAAGAGAGAGGGAAGGAAGGAGAGAAGGAATGAAAGAGAGAAAGAGGGAGGGAGGGAGGGAGGGAGGGAGGAAGGCAGGAAGGCAGGCAGGCAGGCAGGCAGGCAGGCAGGAAGGAAGGAAGGAAGGAAGGAAGGAAGGAAGGAAGGAAGGAAAGAAAGAAAGAGAGAAGGAAGGATAGAACCAAAGAGCAAAGGAAGGGAGGAAAGAAACAGGTAGAGAAGGAAAAAAGAAGAAGGCCTCAGAGTGTGAAAAGGTCTGGTATGAGTAGTCCCAGGCTGAAGGCCTCGTGTGTAAGTTCAGTGTGAGTTCAGTGTGAGAAGGCTCTGCGAAGATGGAAACTGTTTATCTACATGAGAAAGAAGCTCAGCTTGGAAGCAAAGAAGGAAGTATAAAGAACTTTGTGTTATGGAAACCTTGTTTTTGTAAATAGTGCAACCATATTATTTTGCTATAAAGACAAGCCACCTAAGGAAGAGATCACATTGACCTGTGTGTTTTTGTTCTTTTTATCACTTTTGGCTACTGGTGCTGGGTCACACTCCTGCTACTAAGTTACTCCGCTGTGCATTCATTAGAAGGACCCACTCACCCAACAGAGATCTCAGCCAGGATGGAAAGGAAAAGCACTCTGTGGGCACTTTGTGGGCATCCAGCAGGCAGCACACCTGGCCCAGGTGAGCTTTCGAGCCTGAAAGGTGGGGAGCCCTGGGTCCTCCATCTCCCAAATGCCTGGAGGTGGGGTTCACAAATGGACAACGCAAAGGGAGGGGGATGCTGGGACTCACTGCTCTGGGAAGCGGGTGGCATACTGGATCTTCTGGGTCATAGAGTCCTCATCGCAGCCAGAGCTGGAGCAGATCCCGTTCATTCCAGGGATGGTGGAGAAGTTGTAGCCCCCAGTGGTGACGAAGTAGGTGGGGGCTCCCACCATCAGGTACTGGTTCAAGGCCTGGAAGTACTCAAGCATGTAGGAGTCCTGGGGAGAGATGTGGGGCTCAAGTGGGATCGGGCTCAAGAGACCAAAGTATATGGGGGCGGGGGTCCCAGAGGATAGGGGCCCTGCTCACCTTGGGCACCGACAGCTCCTGCTCCAGCCCCACCTGGACATTGAGCATGAAGAAGATGCCAATGCAGAACATGCCGGCGAAGAGCAGTACCTGTGGGGAAGAGAAGAGGGGGCTGCAGGTAAACAGGAAGTGACTGACAAATTGATGAATGGATGGTCTCCTTATCCTCATTGTTAGGTTTCATCTTTGAACTGCACAAGTCTTTTTTCATCAAGTTTCTAGTCCTCAATGAGTAGCTAGACAAGAGACAGGGCCAAGCTCAGGGATCCCTTTCCTTACATTCCTGTGCATGCTTTGTCTTTGGCTTTATTGCTCTTCCCCCTTTGATGACATAGAAATGAGGGAATTGTTGGAATTCTACACTACACTGCTCAAATCTCAAGTCCTCAATGAGAAACAGTTTGGTTAGTTTAGAATAGACTAAGGGTTTCCCTTCCCCCACGTTTACTGTGTACAAATCCACGCGATCTCTTCGAACATCTGGAGAGGCCCTGCTCACGCTCACGCCTCCTTCGCAGGTGCGATTGGTGGGGACGAGGGAGAGGGCCTTCTCGGTGGTGGCCACCCAACTCTGGAACTTACTTCCCAAGGATATCAGGCATGCCCCAACATTGCCAGTCTTTAGGAGGAGCCTGAAAATGTGGCTGTTCCAGTGTGCCTTCCCGGAATAAGGAAATAATTCCTAGCAATATGTCCTCAGAATGCATTTTAACTATTGGATTGCGTTGAACTGCACACCCCTCACTTCTTTAAAACCCTCCTACCAGACATATCCTACCTTGTTCATGCCCAGCATTTATTTTTTAATTTTAAACTATTATATTTGGCCCGGCCATAGGTTTTTAAATCCTTGTGTCTAATTGCCAGATGTGATTTATATTAATTTGTATTGTATTGTTTTGTTTTGTTTATTGCTTTTATGTTTTATTGATGTGTTGTTGGGCTTGGCCTCATGTAAGCCGCTCCGAGTCCCTTGGGGTGATGGTGGCGGGGTATAAATAAAGTTTTATTATCATTATTTTATTATTATTATTATTGCAAGATAGTTAGATCCAAGACTTTTCTATCAAGAATGTCTTTCGTTAATAAATCTATTGGACCTAAAGATTGACTCTACAATCCTCAGCCATCCGAATGGTTAAGAGGCTATTCCTGCGCACCACGAGCAAGTTTCTGCTAGTTATGGTATTTACTCCTGGTACTCTGCTATATTTTGGTGGAATTACCCTAACTGAGATTGATTTTTGAGCCTAAGAGCTCAGATTCCCCAACTCTCATGCCACCCACCTCCCATTCCAGCCACGGCCTCTGCTCACCACCATGAACCGGACGAAGCCATTGAGCACGAAGGGTGCATAGAAGCGGCGCATGAAGGCTGCAAGGCGACCCTCGTGCCGCTTCTCCTCAGGGGACCCTCCGTCTGGCTCCAGGCGGAAGCAGCAGCAGAAGTCCAAACGGGATTCCTGCAAAGGACAAAACAGGTGAAGATGGGGACCACGATCCAGAATGAAGGTCTCCTCCGAAGACCTAAGAAGGATCTCTCCTTCTCTCTCCTCCAGCTGGGAAACCCCACTGACCTCCTGCCGGCGGACATCCAGGGCCAGGAGGGCCACAAAGGCTGAGATCTGGAGCAGGAAGTCAAAGAGGACAGCCAGGGCGGCATAGAGGGCAAAGGTCTTGACGGCGGGCATCGGGATCAAGGCTCCTGCAATGGACAGATGGATGGGGAGAGCAACAGAGAGGCCTCAGCGGAGGACGGGACTGCCTCCTCTCTGATGGTTGACTATCTTTCCAACTATGTGCATGAGGCTGCCCACCCACTCCTTCTGTTCTCACAACCCCCCTGTGAGGCAGGCCAGTCCCAGAGTGTTGGAAATCGCAACCTTCTACAAGCCTTCTATACTAGAGATTTGTTATGTATATAATTCAGATTGTTTACTATATTATGTATGTGTGTATTGGTATGCAGTTTTTTCCTTAACTCTATGTTAAGGGAGGGGCTGCAGACCATGTGATATGATCTGGGACTATTCAGGACTCAGACTCCATGTTCGAAAGGCAGAAGCCATTAGAGTTTCAATGTAGAGACTTCAGTAGAAACAGTGCAGTTTACAAGTTAGTTGAAACAGACAATATAGAATGTATTGTCAAAGGCTTTCATGGACTGAATCACTGGGTTGTTGTGAGTTCTCTGGGCTCTCTATGGCTGGATGGCCATCTGTCAGGAGGACTTGGATGGTGCCTTTTTATGGCAGAAGCGGGTTGGACTGAATGGCCTTTGGGGTCCCTTCCAACTCTAGCATTCTATTATATGCTTATCATATATCTCTCAATCATATCTATCTCTAGGTTACTGTGAGTTTTCCAGGCTGTCTGGGCATGTTCCTGAAGCATTCTCTCCTGACATTTCGCCTACATCTATGGCAGGCATCCTCAGAGGTTGTGTGGTCAATAGAGACAATAGAGACTCTATTAGACTCTCAGAACAGAAAAATGCTTTTGACCAGTGGTTTTCAACCAGTGGGTCCCCAGATGTTTTGGCCTTCAATTGCAAGAAATCCTAACACCTGGTAAACTGGCTGGGATTTCTGGGAGTTGTAGACCAAAACACCTGGGGACCCACAGGTTGAGAACCACTGCTTTAGACTACACAGAGAAACTACTTCAAATCCTATCTGTAACTGGATTGATAAGCAGTGTACCTGTATGCTGAATATATGAAGCTTGTGAGTAAACCAACTATGTTACCTTTAAAGAAGTCTACTTATTTTTGGTCTCTTGAGAGCATGATTTAAGGGAGAATAGATGGTTTTTAGGCAACTGAAATAGCACTTCTGAAACTCTGCTCTCTCTATATATTTATGTATGTGTGTATATATGTGTGTATGCATGTTTTGGTGCATTGGCATATTTTTGTCCCTAACAGTTCCAAGAGATATATAGGTATACTAGCCGTCCCCTGCAATGCATTGCTGTGGCCCATATAGGGGTTCTGTGGCCCAATTCTATTGTTGGTGGGGTTCAGAATGCTCTGTGATTGTAAGTGAACTATAAATCCCAGCAACTACAACTCCCAAATGTCAAGATTCTATTTTCCCCAAATTCCACCAGTGTTCACATTTGGGAATATTGGGTATCTGTGTAGAGTTTGGTCCAGATCCATCATTGTTTGAGTCCACAGTGATCTCTGGATGTAGGTGAACTACAACTCCAAAACCAAGGACACTGCCCACCAAACCCTTTCCAGTATTTTCTGTTGGTCATGGGAGAACTGTGTGCCAAGTTTGTTTCAATTCCATCGTTGGTGGGGTTCAGAATGCTCTTTGATTGTAGGTAAGCTATAAATCTCAGCAACTACAACTCCCAAATGACAAAATCATTTTTTTGATTGAAGGACATACATTGGGTGGTTAGGTGTCTTGTGTCCAAATTTGGTGTCAATTCGTCTAGTGGTTTTAGAGTTCTTTTAATACCACAAACGAACACATTTTTATTTATATAGATTAGTCTAACAACTGAGAAACCTAATTGCCTTGCACAAATACACTACAGTGAAGGTTGACTCAAGTGGGTTTTTAACTCTTCTCAGGGAGATTCCATTTTCCAAAAGGTTATGGCATAATATTTTCCAAAAGGTTATGATTTCTAACAAGGTCATGCCTTTCCAAAAGAGAACAGGACCGGCCCATAGCCAACCAGTGTTCCATAGCCCAATGGGAGGCTTTGAAGTTGCTTCTTGTACTCCCAGTCCCAACCTCTCTTTCTAAGCATCTCTGCAAGTTTCTAGTCTTGTGTCCATGCACACAAACACAAGACCTGGTGCACAGAGTCCCAAGGAAGAGCCCAGCCCAGCACTTCAGTCCTTTTGCTGCCTCTGATGCCAAGGGGCTCAGTGTGAAATGCAAGGCAGCCTTGAGCACACAATGAGTGACCCAAATCTGGCAGCCCTGAAGCAAGTACCCCCGTCCCACCCTTGCCTCCAAGGTTGCCGCCAACAGGATTCAAGGGGCACCCTTTGCTATGCCCCCCTCCATGGCTGAAGGCACCAATTGCACTCACGCACACATACCCTTTGGCACGAAAGCAGCAAGGAAGCACCCTGACTCACCCATGTAGAAGCAGATGACCTCCGACAGGCTGCACAGGAGCATACTGGGCGCCACCTCTCCCAGGACCCTCCCAATGCGCTCCTCTGAGGTCTCCCCAGGCCGGGGTTCAGCCCTCTGTGGAAAGAGGGGAGGAGAGAGACTCAGGAAGAGAACAGGCCCCAGCTGGGGAGGGACTGACCAGCAGCAAAAGAGCCAGAAAGGGCAGAAGCTGGGAGTTGCTCTTCCTCTGCCTGATGGCCAAGCCTAAGAAGGTTCCATGGAGCTGGGCTTTAGCACAGCTGGTAAATCACCAGCAGAAGCAATAAGATTTACCAGTCAAATGATTTCCAGTTCGAATCCTTGGGTTGGGGTGAGCACCTGGCTGTCAGCCCAGCTCACTGTTTACCTAAGCAGTTCGAAAACAGCTTAAAGCTGTAAGTAGAGAAATTAGGTTAAGGTTGTCCCCTGACATTAAGTCCAGTCATGTCTGACTCTGGGGTGTGGTGCTCATCTCCATTTCTAAGCCAAAGAGCCGGCGTTATCCATAGACACCTCCAAGGTCATGTGGCCAGCATGACCGCATGGAGGGCTGTTACCTTCCCGCGGAGTGGTACCTATTGATCTACTCACATTTGCATGTTTTCGAACTGCTAGGTTGGCAGAAGCTAGGGCTGACAGCGGAAGCTCACGCCGCTCCCTGGAATCGAACCTGCGACCATTTGGTCAACAAGCTCAGCAGCTCAGTGCTTTAACCCACTGCGCCAACGGGGGTACCACTAATTAGGTACCACTAAAAAGCGGGGGGGGGGGGGGGGGGGGGGGTTAGTGACACCATAAAAGAAAAAGAACAGGAAATGCCTGTGACCAAAAGGAAGTCCTGATAGCTCTTCATCATAGAGGATGGAGTGACAGCACCCCCCTGTGGCTGGATTTGACCACAACCTCCAAGGTGCCAAAAAGCTGGACATTTGCCAGAGCAAACAAGAAACCATACCTGGAAAGAGCCAATGGTCCTTGAGGTGCCCCAAGGATTGGGAAAGACTCTTTTTGGGACTACCACCAAAGGAGCGCCGACTATAGATCGTAGGTGCTTGGAAGGGAAAGCAGTTCCCTCCCAGCATGTTCCGCACCTGGTATTCCAGCACGAAGATGAAGATGTTGTCTGCACCGAGGGCCAGGACCAGGAAGGGCACGACCTCGAGGATGATGAGGGAGGAAGGCACGCCAACGTAGGAGTAGAAGCCCAGTGAGGAGAGAACGGCCCCCAGCACAACCAGGATGCCACCCACGCCCAGCGTCACCTTGGAGTCCACCTGGAAAGGAGCGGGGAATGGGGTCAATCATGGATAGGGTAGCAAGGCGACCTGTACGTGCTCTTCTGTGCTCAATGGGGTCCCATTCCCTTTGAGGATACAGATCCATAGTCTACCCTTCTGGACTCAGCACTGACTGGAAGTACAGGTGTTGGCAGTGGCCAGGAGGGCTTTCGCACAATTAAAGCTTGTGCATCAACTTGTGACCGTACCTCAAAAAGCAGGACCAGGACATGGCGGTCCATGCTTTAGTTACATCTCGTATGGACTACTGTGATGCATTCAACATGGGGTTGCCTTTGAAGGCGACTCAGAAATTGCAATTAGTACAAAGATTGGCAGCCAGACTACTGACTGGAGCAAGCTATAGGAAGCATACTATGCCCCTCTTAAAGCAACTCCACTGGCTGCCTATAAGTTTCCAGTCACAATTCAAACTGCAGGTGATTACCTATTTATTTATTTATTTATTTACAATATTTATATGTTGCCATTCTCACCCCGAAGGGGACTCAGGGCGGCTTACAAGATATATATACATACAATATATTAAATTATTAGCATAGTACAATATCAGTATTATATATTACTATATTGCACTTACACCATTATATTAGTAATATTACATGTAATATAAAATGTATAATTATAATATTATATTATTAGTAGTAGTATTATATTGTATTACGTTATAATATTATAAATATTATATGTATATACATTATATTATTATTATTATTATTATTATTACTAAAGCACAGGAGACAAAAGCCTATAAAGCCCTAAGCGGTTCAGGTCCCTCTTCGTGCCCATCTTCGTGACCGCATCTCCCGCTGTGAACCTGCACAAGCTCCAAGATCCACTGGGGAGGCTCTCTTTTTGGTCCCACCTCCGTCACCCGCTGGTGGGGACAAGAAAGAGGAACACCCTTCCCAGGGAGATCAGGCAGGCCCCACAATTCAGACCTTTTGGAGAGAACTGAAAACTTGGCTTTTCAAGTTTTAAGGCCATCGATAATGATTAATGTAACATCCAATAATCAGAGCACCTAAACTGTTTGAAGTTTTACCCCGATGGCAGTGGTGCAACAGGTTAACACATACACCCCCCATTTTCCAGACCCCACAACCTCTGAGGATGCCGGTTATAGATATGGGCAAAACTTCTGCTTCTGGAACATAACCATACTTTTCAGTCTCTCTTTAGTTATGTGTGAATGGTAAAACGTAATCTTTGGAGATTTTTCCTTTTGTTTGAACCTAGGCTGGATCGATGCTGCCCGCTATCCTGGGATCTGATCCCAGATTGTCTGCTTTGAACTGGATTATATGAGTCTACACTGTCAGATAATAATCTTGGCTAAGCAGATTATCTGGGATTAGGTCCTGGGAGTGTAGATCCAGCCTTAGAAGACATGAAGTGAGAGAGGAAAGCTTAGTCCCAATACTGTGCTGGTTTTGACCTATAAAACCCTATACGGCTCCCGCCCAGCGTACCTGTCCGAACGTATCTCCTTCTATGTCCCACCTCGGAGCTTAAGATCTTCTGGGGAGGTCCTGCTCTCGGCCCCGCCTCTATCACAAGTGAGGCTGGTGGGGACGAGGGACAGGGCCTTCTCAGTGGTGGCCCCTCGTCTGTGGAACTCACTCCCCGGTTATTGTTGTTATGTATTTTATATGTTGAATTGTTGGCACCCAATTGTGCCAGTTGTAAGCCGCCCTGAGTCCCCCCTAGGGGGTTGAGAAGGGTGGGGTAGAAGTGCCTGAAATAAATAAATACTGCTATTTGGGAGGATTTCCCTAAGATGTTCCTCACCTGGACCCCCCCCCCTTCCCTCCCGAGGAGCACCCCCTCTAACATCAATGGGACCCCTTCCTACCAGGATGCGCCTGCAGCTGGAGTACTGTCCCAGGGCCAGAGCAATGTAGATGAAGATCAGGAGGTAGCTGAGGACGAAGATGGGCATGTCTTCCCAGGTGGAGCGGCTGATCTCGTCCTCCAAGGAGCGCTGGAGAGGAAAAGGAAGGAGAGCTATTGGTGGAAAGAAAGCCTTGGTGGTCAACACTGGGCCAGATGCACCAGGTGGACTTCCCACCTGCTGCCTCCTTGGATCTCAAAGGCCAATGCTTCTGAGATCCAACCATCAGCATGCTTACAGGGGATGCAAGACATGCAGTCTTCGTTTCTCCTCAATCTTTTGGGTTTCAGTGGGTCCCCTCTGAACACAACTAAGTCTAGATCCAACCCAGTAAGACAGACAGAAACCAGTTGTATCCTCTCCCAAAAACCCCAGGCAATGATCATCAAAACAACCAGGGAGTGGAAGCACTGAACAGGCCCCTTTGCCGGCTGGAAGGCTCCACCCAAAGGCAGAGGGTGCTTCTTCAGCCGCTGGGCAATGGGTCTGCTGAATGGTTTAAAAGAAGGCCATTCTCTGGAATGGTGGCAATGGAACCTTACCCCCCCCCCCCCAAATTACCTCCGCCATGTAGGCAACGTTGTAGCGATTGGCATGTTCCTGCTGGAATTCCTTCACTGTTTTCAGGAACTGCTCCTCCCAGAGCATCACAAAGTCAAAGCGGGGGTCACTGGAGGGGAAGTTGTTCAGGGAGACGGTCAGGATGAGTGCCTCCGCCTCTGAGTAGGACACCCCTGCGGGGCAGACAAGAGGGTCAGCAGTGGGGAGGGGGCACATATTTCCTCCGAGACACACACACAGAGATGTGGATAGGTAGGTAGGTAGGTAGGTAGGTAGGTAGCTAGAAAGATAGATAGATAGATAGATAGATAGATATAAATATAGATAAATAGATAGATAGATAGATAGACAGACAGACAGACAGACAGATGATAGATAGTTATAGATATATAGCGATAGATAGATAGATAGATAGATAGATAGATAGATAGAGATTGAGAGAGAGAGAGAGATAGGTAGAGAGATATATAGAGGGGGGAGATGCAGAGAGAGATACAGAGAGATAGAGGGGAGATACAGAGAGAGAGAGAGAGAGAGAGAGAGAGAGAGAGGGAGGGAGGGAGGGAGGGAGACTAGGATTTTAAATGGTGTATTTTAATATTTTGATAAATGTTTTTTAATGTTTATGTATTGTATGTGAATCTGTGTCCCGGCATTGAATGTTTGCCGTGTATATGCTGTGCTCTGCCCTGAGTCCCCTTCGGGGTGAGAAGGGCGGAATATAAATGTTTTAAATATATATATATATACAGAGAGAGAGATGGATAGAAATTTAGAGATATACTGATACATATAGATCCCCCCCCCTCTATCTATCTATCTATCTAGCTATCTATCTATCTATCATCTATCGGCTGTCCCAAAGTTACAAACACCCATCTTACAAATGACTCAGAGAGAGAGAGATAGAGAGAGGTGCAGAGAGATATAGTAGAAATATAGAGATATACTGATACATATAGATCTCTCTCTCCATCTCCCCCCCCCCCTCTATATATAGGCTGTCCCAGAGTTACAAACACCCATCTTACAAATGACTCCTAGTTAAGAATGGGGCTGAGTTAATAGAAAGTGAGAGACATCTACCTTTAAGAAGGAAAGTTCACTCCTGGAAGAGTTATTATCAGGGGAGAAAGGGATCTCCACTGAAGATTTACTCCAATCCTTATTTCCACAACAAGTCACATTACCACTTTCCTATGCCACCCAAAGCTTGTGTGTGTGTGTGTGTGTGCGTTTCTGGAGCTGCACTTTAAAAATGTCAATGTTCCGACTTCTATACAAATTCAACTTAAGAACAAGCCTCAGAGCCTCTCTTGTTTGCCATTTGGGGGCTGCCCTTCTTGCGGTGGGTCTCCTCTGCCAGGTTCTTCTCCAGTTCATAACCAAGGACAGCTCTCCCTTCCAGCCTTCCTTCTCCTGCTTCTATCATCTACTTCAAGTCGCTTCAAGTTTCTCCTGACATAAAAGATCTACTGCAGTGGTCGCCAACCCTTTTTTGACCAGGGACCACTTTGATTTTTTTGCTGTCAGCAGGTTGTGGGAGTTGAAGTCCGAAAGACCCAGAGGGCCAAAATTTGCCAATATGCCTGCTATAGATGTAGCTTATAATCCTGAGAGACCAGGGTTCAAATCTTTGCTTGATCATAGAAACCCAATGTTACCTAGCGCAGGGCCACACTCTCTCAACTCCAAAGGAAGGTAGTATCAAACCCCTTCTGAAACCAATCTTGCCAAGAATATCCATGATAAGCTCATCATAAGTTGGAAGCAACTGGAAGGCACACAATAACAACGACAAACAACCCTTCCAAGGTGCCTCTGCCCACTTCTGGCGTCGTCCTCCTCCTCGCTCTGGTCCTGTTCCCAAACCTCAAAACAGCTAGAGCTAGTGGATATTGAGGGGGACCTCTCTGTGCATGCTCAGAGGTGTCCTCCACACTCTCTGCGTACTCAGTGTTGAGAAGGAGGCTGCTGAAGCAGTGCCACAACAGAAAGTGTGTAAGCAGCATTGAGCCCACTCACATCAACAGGCATAGTGCTCTGTTCCTCCACTGCCCAGACCTCCCGCTGCCCACCGCCATCTTCTGCCAGGATGGAAGTATGGGCCGGGCTCTCTATCACCAGGCCAGCCAGTGTGGATCCATCACTACCTCACTCCCTCTTCCAGTTCGATCCAAAAAGAATACCAGGCTGAAATGAACTTCTAAGGATCCCATGTTCTGCGCTGCTCTTCTCACCTGCTTACAACTAGAAAGCCAGTCTCTTCACCTTCAGCGGCTCCCTTTCCCTTTGCAGCTTAAATGAATAAAGGTTGAAAATTTTAAATGTTCCATGGACCATATTTTAGTTCTTGTGGACCACTAGTGGTCCACAGACCACAAGTAGGGAACCACTGATCTACTGAGACTATTTGTCAAACAAGTAGATGTCTGAGTCTCTTACAGAAAAAGGCTGTAGGCGGAGGAGAAAGCGGCACCCAGCAGCCCTTGGGACTAAGAGGCTACTCTTTCAGCATGGCTACCCAGCCAATTGTTCCTGTGCATCGCTGCTTCATGTCGTTAAGTGCAATGGCTCTAATGAGAGTTTAGGTGGGATGCTGACCGAGGCCCTCCATCTCCAAAACGCTGCCTGGGTCATTCAGCCTTGGGGGTGTTCTAAGGTAGTGTTTCTCAACCTGGGGGTCGGAACCCCTGGGGAGTCACAAAGGGGTGTCAGAGGGGTCACCAAAGATTATCAGAAAGCACTGTATTTTCTGTTGATCAAGGGGGTTCTGTGTAGGAGGTTTGGCCCAATTTGCTCATTGGTGGGGTTCAGAATGCTCTTTGATTGTAGGTGAACTATAAATCCCAGCAACTACAGCTCCCAAATGTCAATGTTTATTTTCCCCCAAACTCCACTGGTGTTTACATTTGGGTATCTTGAGTATTCGTGCCAAGTTTGGTCCAGATCCATCATTGTTTGAGTCTACAGTACTCTCTGGATGTAGGTAAACTACAACTCCCAAACTTAAGATCAATGCCCACCAAACCCTTCCAGTATTTTCTCTTGGTCATAGGAGTTCTGTGTGCCACGTTTGGTTCAATTCTATTGTTGGTGGAGTTTGGAATGCTCTTTGATTGTAGGTGAACTATAAATCCCACCAACTATAACTCCCAAATGACAACATCAATCCCCTCCCCCACCCCATCAGTAATCAAATTTGGGCATATGAGGTATTTGTGCCAAATGTGTTCCATTGAATAAAAATACATCCTGTAGATGAGATATTTAAATGACGGTTCATAACAGTAGCAAATGTATAGTTATGAAGTAGCAAGGAAAATAATGTTATGGTTGGGGATCACCACAACATGAGGAACCGGATTAAGGGGTTGCTGCATTAGGAAGGTCGAGAAACACTGTTCTAAGGGGTCCTGTAAAAGCAATAAATCTGCACCCCAAAAATCAGAGAACTCTCTGGAGAGAAGCACATTTGTGACGACGTGTGTTAAGGGACGGACTCTGCCACGAAGCCACTCTCATTGCTCATACTTCTTCTAATGGCTTGGGATTTGTGATATAACCAGCTGTTTCCTTTCCAGACCTCCACTCTAATCTTCAAGACTTGTGACTCATCAATCCCATGTTGTGTGCCTTGGAAGGCTGAAGTGCTCGCCCACTGGGATTAGGGTGTTGCCATTTCTGACATCAGATGTTTTGCTTTGCATAGGGACCGTCCTGCCTGAGCAATGAAGCAAACAAAGGGGCCTTGCTAACACAAGACAGTGACAGCCACATTCAACCACTAGCTAGTCCATGCATGGAAGGTGAATGATCGGCTCCTCTAATATCGCTCCCAGAGGGCTTCTTGGCGAAGTTTGTTCAGAGGGAGCTTGCCCTTCCACTTCATCACATTTACTAAATACCACTAAGTGCTACAGTTAAAGTGTGGAAAGCTACTGTTCTCATCATATTAGATTGGGTACAAGTGTAGGATAGAGCCAGGCCTGTAGTCAGGACTTTGATTGGAGGGGGGGGGGCTGGGTTTTGGGGGGGAGGGCTGTTTGATTTTGGGGGGGGGGGGTCAGGATCTACCCTAGCAAACCTTTTGTATCATTATCCCAATGCCCCCATGTATATGGGATATATTGAGCATGGTGATCAGATCATGATATGAATAAACATAACAGTTTAAATAATAAACCACTAAGGCAGTGTTTCTCAACCTGGGGGTTGGGACCCCTGTGGGGATCGCGAGGGGGTGTCAGAGGGGTCGCCAAAGATCATCAGAAAACAGTATTTTCTGTTGGTCATGGGAGTTCTGTGTGGAAAGTTTGGTCCAATTCTATTGTTGGTGTGGTTCAGAATGCTATTTCATTGTGCGTGAACTATAAATCCCAACAACTACAACTCCCAAATGGCAAGGTCTATTTTCTCCAAACGCTACCAGTGTTCACATTTGGACATATTGAGTATTTGTGCCAAGTTTGATCCAGATCCATCATTGCTTGAGTCCACGGTGTTCTCTGAATGTAGGTGAACTATAACTCCAAAAATTCAAAGTCAATGTCTACCAGACCTTCCCAGGATTTTCTCTTGGTCATTGGAATTCTGTGTGCCATGTTTGATTCAATTCCATCATTCATGGAGTTCAGAAGGCTCTTTGATTTTAGGTGAACTATAAATCCCAGCAACTCCAGCATTACCAAATGACAAAATCAATCACCCTCAACCCCACCAGTATTGGGTATTTGTGCCAAATTGGGTCCAGTAAATGAAAATACATCCTGCATATCAGATATTTACATTGCAATTTATAACAGGAGCAAAATTACAGTTATGAAGTAGCAACGAAAATAACGTTATGGTTGGGGGTCACCACAACATGAGCCGTGGCATTAGGAAGGTTGAGAACCACTGCAGTAAGGCCTTCTCACGGATCACTCTGAGAATTTTGGGAGGGGGCTGAAGCCCTTGAAGCCCCCCCCCCCCCAGGCTGCATAATTTAAGCATGGGGGCCAGCGTTCTTTTCAAACATTTCAGGATATGGTGGGGAAGTGGATTTTTGATAATGATCCAGATGTATTGTCGAAGGCTTTCATGGCTGGAATCACTAGGTTCTTGTGGGTTTTTTCGGGCTATAGAGCCATGTTCCAGAGGCATTTCTCCTGATGTTTCGCCTGCATCTATGGCAAGCATCCTCAGAAGTAGCTCAGAGGTACCTCACTACCTCTGAGAATGCTTGCCATAGATGCAGGTGAAACATCAGGAGAAATGCCTCTGGAACATGGCTCTATAGCCCGAAAAAACCAACAAGAACCTAATGATCCAGATGTTTGGCCAGTTCTGTAATGTGACGGCATTTGTTGCTCTCGGGTTTAAAATGAAACGTTTCCCCAATTTGTGGGAGGGGAAATTGTGGGAGGAGCCAAGCCAATCTCTGGGTGCATCTGAACCGCTAGGCACATCTCAACAAAGGAAGGGAAGGGAAGGAAAAGAAAGGACCCAGAAAGGTCATTTTTTAAGAAAGAAATTGTTCTTGCAAAATAAATACTTGGTGAGCAAAAGGCAATGTTTCCCTAACAAGGTTACTTTGGGCACAATTTTCCTTCCCACAAATTGGGGGAAAGTTTCATTGTAAACCTGGGAGCAACTAACATCATCACATTACAGAAACAGCCAAACATCTGGCCATTTTTGTAATCCACTTTCCCACCACATCATGAAATAGTTTAAAAGAATGCTGGCCCTCACACTTAAAGTACACAAAGAATGCTCTATCCTACACTTGAAGCCAAAATAATGTGATGACGAGAGTGGCTTCCTGGATTGTAAGTGTAGCATTCAGAGGAATTTAGTAAATGTGATGAAGTGGATCAATTTCCCATATACAGTATAGTCTCGCTTATCCAACCTTCGCTCATCTGACGTTCGGTATTATCCAACGCAGTCTGCCTACCGCCCGGATCTACAGCTGTTTCAATACATTGCAATGTTTTAGCGCTAAATTTATAAGTACAGTAATTACGACATGATGTTACCGTGTATTGAACTGCTTTTTATGTCAATTTGTTGTAAAACGTGATGTTTTGGTGCTTAATTTGTAAAATCATAACGTAATTTGACGTTTAATAGGCTTTTCCTTAATCCCTCCTTATTATCCAACATTTTTGCTTACCCAACATTCTGCTGGTCTGTTTATATTGGATAAGCGAGACTACTGTATTTATAGAGGGTGGGGATGGATAGATAGATGGATGGATGGATGGGTGGGTGGTTGAATGGATAGATAGATAGATAGATAGATAGATAGATAGATAGATAGATAGATAGATAGATAGATAGATAGATAGATAGATGGGACGGATGAATGGATAGATAGACAGACAGGTAGATATGGAGGATGGATGGGTAGGTAGGTAGGTAGGTAAGTAGATAGATAGATAGATAGATAGATAGATAGATAGATAGATAGATATGAAGGGAGGATGGAGAGATAGATAGACAGACAGATATGGATAGATAGATATATAGACAGACAGATATGGAAGATAGATAGATAGATAGATAGATAGATAGATAGATAGATACCAGATCGTGGCTGGAGATGTGGCCCACCAGAATGTGGCCCATCTTCCTACCTGAGTAGCCCCCCACGGCCAGGAAAGGGAAGACTGGGGCCCCGTAGTCAGCCATGCAGCTGAGCCCCAGAGCTGTGATGTCCTTGAAGGAGAGCGGGGAGCTGTGGGTAGAGGAACACAGCCGTGGAGGTGAGGCCCACCTCTGGAGGAATGGACCCTCCATGGCCCCTTCCTTCCTTCTTTCCTTCTGGAGCAAGAGGAGCAGCCTCCAGCCCACCTCTGTCCCTCCAGAGCCCATTCCCATTCTGACTGAGGGGCCCTTGGGGCCTCAGGACCCCCCCCCTCCATGCTGCCCCCTCCTCTGCACTCACTTGATGCAGTAGAGGAAGTGGTCCCTCCAGTCGACGATGCTGGTCTGCCCCTTCAGCGTCTGAGTGGCGTTCATCTCCAGCAGTGTCCGGTTGTTCTGGAAGTACTGGAGCAAGCTGTTGACGGCGCAGTCGGTCAAGGACGGCTCCTGGGGGTTGAGCGGGGCGTAGCAGACATCCTTCAGTGAAACATTCCGGCCATGGGTCGCCGACCAGACCACGATGCCCTGCAGCCGCTGTTGCAGGTCCAGCAGGTCCAGCAGCACGTCCATGGAGAGCACTCCACTGAAGTTGCTCTGGCCCATGACCAGAGAGTTGTAGCTGTAGCCAGAGTGGATCTTGGCCGTCAGGAAGACCTGGTTGGTGCGGAAGAAGGGGCCAAAGTGCTCCTCGTAGAAGGCCTTCTCCTGCCGGGCCTGGCTGTCCGGGGCCGACCACAGCTCCACGGGGTTCGTGGTCATTTGGATGGAGGCCAGGCCACCAGAGAGCACTGCCACGGCCAGAGTGCAGATTAAGATGACCGTGCGTGGATAGGTGGCCACCAGCGTGCCCCAGCTGCTGAAGACCCTGGAAAGGAACCTGTCGGTGGCCCGGCCAATCCTCTGGGAGCAAGGGATCCTGGGCTTGGGTTCCTGTGGCCATCCTGGGCCCTTCGGCTTCTCCCACGGCCCTCCCTGGCTCTTTAACTTCCGCCGCGACGATGGGGAGCAGCACTGGCAGCTCAGGGCCACCACAAAGACCACAAAGAGGACCAGGAAGAGGAGGATGCAGAGGAAGAGGACTCCGCTCAGGTGCCCAACCTGGAACGGCGGTGCAGGAGGCCGTGGGGCTTCGATGACCGGGCAGGACTGGGCGCAGTCTTGGCAGGAGCACTTCTCGCCAGTGCTGTTGCCCACCGGCTCTCCGCAGCCCCAGACTGTGGCGTTGAAGGGCACGATGCCGCCCGCAATGGCCGGGGAACCCTGGGGCACCAGGCGGAAGTCGATGGCCAGTGGAGCCAGGCCATTGCTGACGTCACCCTGGTAGTCCAGCCAACGCTGTGTATTGCAGAGCGCCGCCCCGTACTTGCCGCACATAGCGCCGATGGCATAGCCACCCGTGGCTGGGATGCTCACGCCTTTGCAAGAGTCATAAGTGGCATCAGCAAAGGCCTGGTCATAGAAGCACTGGTACTCCAAGACGCCCAATGCTTGGCTACCATTGGGGAAAGTGTAGGGGTTGGTGCGGGTGACATTGGCGAAGCTGCTCTGGTTCGGGGAGCAGATGTTCTGGCAGTGGAGGTTGCCGAAGTTCTCAGCACAGGAGGGGCAGCGGGAGAGGATCACCCGAGAGATGCGGAGGCTGCTCTCAATGGCGGTCAGCTGGTCCTCGGAGCAGCAGGCGTAGGTGGAATCTGTGCCTGTGAAGAGGACTGGGCAGACGGTGCGCAGCCGCTGCAAGTGGGTCCCTGAGAGAAGCCGGGCCGGAGTGTTGGAGACACAGGGCACCGTGTTGTCCGGGAGCAGGCTCCCGTTGGCCTCCTTGTTATTGCCACAGTCACCATAGAAGGCGCAGTAGCCCTCGCTGTGGATCTGTGTGGGGGCGGCCGCCTGAGGATAGAAAGGGATAGAAGGAGGGAGAGAAGAAGGCCATCAAGGGAAGGACAAAGGGATAGTCAGCAGGCAGTGGGCAGAAGGGCTCTGGATAAGGATGAGGGAACCGCTCTGAGTTCAATCCCCCCTCCACACACACAGCTGTGCCTCCCAAACAGTCTAGAACAGGTATGGGTAAACCCAGGCCCAGGGGCCGGATTGGGCTTTTTTCTCAGGCCCACCACTCTCTCAACATCCTATCCTTTTCCTCCTCCTTCCTTCCTTCCTTCCTTCCTTCCTTCCTTCCTTCCTTCCTTCTCCTTCCTGCCTTCCTTCCTTCTCTCCTTCCTTCTTCTCTTTCCTTCCTCCTTCCCTCCTTTCTCTTTCCTTCCACCCTTTTATCCTTTTCATTCTCTCCTTCCTTCCTTCTTCCCTCCCTCTCTTCCATTTGTCCTTCCTTCCTTCCTTCCTTCCTTCCTTCCTTCCTTTCATCCATCCATCCATCCATCCATGCATCCATCCATCCATCCATCCATCCATCCATCCTTCCCTTTCACCCTTTTGTTCTTCACTCCTTTCATCCCTTTTGTCTTTCTTTCGTTCTCTATTTTCTTCCTTCTTACTTCGCTCCCTTCCCTCTCTTTCTCCTTCCATCCTTCCCTTCCTTCCTTCCTTCCTTCCTTCCTTCCTTCCTTCCCTTTTGTCTTTCTTCCCTTCTCTTTCCTTTATCCTTCTCTTCTTTCCATCCTTCTCTTCGTCTGTCTTCCTTCCTTCTCTTTTTCCTTCCATCCTTCCTTCAACTGTTTCTTCCTTCCTTCCCTTTTTACTTCCCTCTTTCCTCCCTCCTTCCCTCTCTCCCTATTTCTCCTTCCAACTTTCCCTTCCCCTTTCACCCTTCCTTCTCTTCCCTTCCTCCTTCCCTTCCTCCCTCCCTTTCTTCCTTCTGTTTCCTTCCTCCTTCCCTCCCTTCCATCCTTCCCTTTTGTCTTTCTTTCCTTCTCTTTCCTTTATCCTTCTCTTCTTTCCATCCTTCTCTTCGTCTGTCTTCCTTCCTTCTCTTTTTCCTTCCATCCTTCCTTCAACTGTTTCTTCCTTCCTTCCCTTTTTACTTCCTTCCCTCTTTCCTCCCTCCTTCCCTCTCTCCCTCTTTCTCCTTCCAACTTTCCCTTTCCCCTTTCACCCTTCCTTCTCTTTCCTTTCTCCTTCCCTTCCTTCCTTTCTCCCTTCTGTTTCCTTCCTCCTTTCCTTCCTTCTTCCCACCGTTTCATCCTTCCTTCCTTTTGTCTATCCTTCCTTCCCTCTTTCCTTCTCCTTCCTCTCTCCCCTTTCTCCTTCCTCCTCTCCTTCCTCCCTTCCTTCTCTTTTCTTCCTCCCTCCATCACTGGACAGCCAGCCCTCCTAGCAGGGAGTGCTAACATGAGGCCCCCAAGTTAGAAAGTTTGCCCAGACCTGGTCTAGAAGAAGGGCACTACCCAGTCAGGCTCAGCTGACCTATTTCCTCCCCAAGCTGAGGCTGCTCAGCGGGTCAGTTGGTCCAGGCTGGCCATAGTGCCAAGGAGGACATCCCCTTCCAGCAGCCACTTCCTCCCCTGGGCCTTCCTGAGATCAGCTGCCAGCAGAACCACAAAAGCCACAGCACACCACTGGACCCAAGGAGGAAGGGCACCTCAGAGGGAAGCTCATGCTGCCCAGCCTCCTCCTCCGACCCCCACTTACCCTAAGCCCCCCAGACTCACCAGTCCCTCTTGAGCCCGGACCAGCACCAAGGCCAGGAGGGTGGCACTCAGCATCCTGGCAGCTCTCTTGGGGCCAGCGGCCAGCGGCAGCTGTGGTCCGATGCGCCTGCAGAGGCCAAAGGACATGCCAGGGAGCCTGTCTTCAGCCCACCTGGTTTCCAGGTAAGCAGGAGCCCTGGTCCGACAGCCCAGAAACCAATCAGGTGCTGCCAGGAAGGTAAATAATTAACACGCCGGAGGGACTCTCCCGGTGAGCGCTCCTCAAGCCTTCCTTGGGGCAAGTGAGGCGCCCAAGTGCCTCTCCAGAGCCTGGCCTTGGGGCAGGATAGAGAAGGGAAGCCATGGCTGTCAATGCCATCCCTCTGAGGGCACAACCCTGATGCCTTTCTGGAAGTAAGAGACCCATTGGTGCACTTCTGCAGGTGGCCACCTCTTCCAAGGCCAGGGTTACTTCAACTCTCTTGAACTCCCCTTATATGGTTGCCTTAACTACATTATTTATTCATTTATTTGTTTACTGTATTTGTATACTGCTTTTCTCAGCCCGTAGGTGACTCAAGGTGGTTAACAGGGTAAAATTTGATGCTTACAATATCATAAATACAATTAAAAACTTAACATATAATAAAAATTAAACATATCAATAAAATATCAATTCATAGTGTCTCCTTGTTAAAAACGTTGTCCGGTCTCATTGTCATTGTTCCATTTTCATATGTCATTTACTCTGCATTTGGAAACGCTTGTTCAAAAAGCCAAGTCTTGACTTTTTTCCGGAACGTTAAAAGGAAGGTGGCTGATCTAATATCTATAGGGAGGGCGTTCCACAGCCAAGGGGCCACCACCGAGAAGGCTCTGTCCCTCATCTCCACCAAACATACTTGTGACGAAGGCGGTAATGATAGTAGGGCCTCCCCAGATGATCTTAGGTCCTGGATGGTTCATAAGGGGAGATGCGTTCGGACATGTAAGTTGGGCCAGAACCGTTTATAGCAGTGGTTCTCAGAAACCTTCCTAATGCCGTGACCCCTTAATACAGTCCCTCATGTTGTGGTGACCCCCAACCATAATATTGTTTTGTTGCTACTTCATAACAGTCATTTTACTACTGTTATAAATCATAATGTAAATATCTGATATGCAGGATGCATTTTCATTCACTGGACCAAACTGGGCACAAATACCCAATACACCCAAATGTGAATGCTAATGGGGTTGGGGGAGGATTGATTTTGTAATTTGGGAGTTGTAGTTGCTGGGATTTATAGTTCACTTATAATCAAAGAGCATTCTGAACTCCACCGGCGATGGATTTGAACCAAACTTGGCTCCCATGACCGATGGAAAACACTGGAAGGGTTTGATGGGCATTGACCTTGAGTTTGGGAGTTGTAGTTCACCTATATCCAGAGAGCACTGTGGACTCATGCAATGGTGGATCTGGACCAAACTTGGCATGAATACTCAATATGCCCAAATGTGAACACTGGTGGAGTCTGGGGAAAATAGATCTTGACATTTGGGAGTTGTAGTTGCTGGGATTTATAGTTCATTACAATCAAAGAACATTCTGAACTCCACCAACGATAGAATTGGCTCAAACTTCCCACATGGAATCCCCATGACCATCAGAAAATACTGTGTTTTCTTATGGTCTTTGGTGACCCCTTTGACACCCCCTTGTGACCCCCTCAGGGGTCCCGACCCCCAGGTTGAGAAACACTGGTTTATAGCCTAAAGCCAGCACTTTGGATTGTGCCCAGTAGCAAACTGGCAGCCAATGGAGCTGGTGCAACAGAGGAGTTGTACGCTTCCTGAGTGCTGCTCCTGTTAGCAATCTGGCTGCCGTTCGTTGGACTATTGAAGCTTCCGGACAGTCTTCAAAGGCAACCCCACATAGAGCGCGTTGCAGTAGTCTATACATAAGTCATTCGATGAAGCTCTTAAAACTTGTGCGCCAGCTGTGCCCGTACCTTGGGAAGACTGACTTGGCCACGGTGGTCCACGCTCTGGTTACATCCCGTATAGACTATTGCAATGCTCTCTACATGGGGTTGCCTTTGAAGACTGCCCGGAAGCTACAACTAGTCCAACGAGCGGCAGCCAGACTACTAACAGGAGTGGGGTACAGGGAGCATACTACTCCTCTGTTGCGTCAGCTCCACTGGCTGCCAATCAGTTTCCGAGCACAATTCAAAGTGCTGGTGTTGACCTATAAAGCCCTAAACGACTCTGGCCCAATTTATCTGTCTGAACGGATTCGCCCCTATGAACCATCAAGGTTCTTAAGATCTTCTGGAGGGGCCCTGCTCTCAGTCCCTCCTTTTTCGCAATCGCGATTGGTGGGGATGAGGGACAGGGCCTTCTTGGTGGGGGGCCCTTGGCTCTGGAACTCTCTCCCAATGGAGATTAGATCTGCCCCTTCCCTCCTCACTTTTAGAAAGCTGGTAAAAACATGGCTTTGGAATACTGCATTTGCAGAATGATGACTGAGTCAATAACTGCTGACTACACGGGCGGATGGCGATGAATTTATGATTTATTCTGATGAACTGGCCTTTTGTAAGTTGTATAACTGTATTTTAATGTATTTTTGTACTATTGTATTATGATGTTTACTGTGGTTTATCTTATTGTATTTTAATACTGGTAGCCAGATTTTGTCCATTTTCATGGTTTCCTCCTTTCTGTTGAAATTGTCCCCATGCTTGTGTATTTCAATGGCTTCTCTGTGTAGTCTGGCATGGTGGTTGTGAGAGTGGTCCAGCATTTCTGTGTTCTCAAATAAAATGCTGTGTCCAGGTTGGTTCACCAGGTGCTCTGCTATGGCTGATTTCAACAGAAAGGAGGAAACCATGAAACAGAACATGAAAATGAAGAGAAGGCTGAGAGGAGACATGATAGCCATATATAAATATGTGAGAGGAAGCCACAGGGAGGAGGAGAGAGCCACACCACAGAGATTAACAAAAAAAGAAAACACAAAACAGGCAAAAATCAACAGAAAGGAGGAAACCATGAAAATGAACATGAAAATGAAGAGAAGGCTGAGAGGAGACATGATAGCCATATATAAATATGTGAGAGGAAGCCACAGGGAGGAGAGAGCAAGCTTGTTTTCTGCTTCCTTGGAGACTAGGACGCGGAACAATGGCTTCAAACTACAAGAGAGGAGATTCCATCTGAACACGAGGAAGAACTTCCTGACTGTGAGAGCCGTTCAGCAGTGGAATTCTCTGCCCCGGAGTGTGGTGGAGGCTCCTTCTTTGGAAGCTTTTAAACAGAGGCTGGATGGCCATCTGTCAGGGGTGATTTGAATGCAATATTCCTGCTTCTTGGCAGGGGGTTGGACTGGATGGCCCATGAGGTCTCTTCCAACTCTTTATGATTCTATGATTCAAAATCTGGCTACCAGTATTAAAAAAAACTCTAAAATGACAACAGCAAAACAACAGAGAGGAAACAAAGACATCTAATCACCTCTCAACAAAAGATTGCTCCAGGTACTGCCAGACAATCAAATGCTAATCAAGGTGGTCAGTTGAAACATTCACACCTAGCTCCAGCAGACAAGAGTCCTTTGTCTCACCCTGGTCATTCCACAGATATATATAAACCACTTTTCCTAGTTCCAACAGACCTCACTACCTCTGAGGATGCTTGCCATAGATGAGGTTCTCAACCTGGGGTCCCCAGATGTTTTTGGCCTTCAACTCCCAGAAATCCTAACAGCTGGTAAACTGGCTGGGATTTCTGGGAGTTGTAGGCCCAAAACATCTGGGGACCCACAGGTTGAGAACCACTGCCATAGATGCAGGCGAAACGTCAGGAGAGAATGCCTCTAGACCATGGCCATATAGCCCGAAATAACCTACAACAACCCAGTGATTCCGGCCATGAAAGCCTTCGACAATACATAATATTCATGTTTTTCAAAATAATTTGTCAGATCTTCCAAAGGCCGTGTGGACAAACTTCGACATATCCAATATTTTCCTATGTGAATTCAAGAATATTATGTGTGTTACACTGTTGTAAATTGTCCCTATGTGTTTGTTTCTCACGCTTGTTTATTAAATGAGTTTGTTTGGTATTTTTCTCATTACTCCAATTGGTATTTGTGCTGAAGCTTATAGTAATAGGGCATTTGTGTATTAACATTGTATTTATAGATTTCTTTTTTTAAAAATAATCTTTATTATTTTTCCATTAAAAAAAAGAGCATACAGTGCCAAAAGAGAATAAAAAATAATAATAAAGAAAAGGAACAAGACTGAGTGGGGAAAGTATCAGGGTCAAAAGTGGGGTAACAGGATAGCAAGAGAGAGAGAGAGAGAGAGAGAGAGAGAGAAAAGGAAGTGTGTCCGGTTTCTTCCATCAGAATGCTCCTTTTAACAAATACTGTGTTTTCTTATGGTCTTTGGTGACCCCTCTGACACCCCTTGTGACCCCCTCAGGGGTCCCGACCCCCAGGTTGAGAAACACTGGTTTATAGCCTAAAGCCAGCACTTTGGATTGTGCCCAGTAGCAAACTGGCAGCCAATGGAGCTGGTGCAACAGAGGAGTTGTACGCTTCCTGAGCGCTGCTCCTGTTAGCAATCTGGCTGCCGTTCGTTGGACTATTTGAAGCTTCCGGACAGTCTTCAAAGGCAACCCCACATAGAGCGCGTTGCAGTAGTCTATACAGGATGTAACCAGAGGTGGCTGGAAGAGCTTTCGCACAGTTAAAGCTTGTGCGCCAGCTGCGCCCGTACCTTGGGAAGTCTGACTTGGCCACTGTGGTCCACGCTCTGGTTACATCCCGTATAGATTACTGCAATGCTCTCTACATGGGGTTGCATTTGAAGACTGCCCGGAAGCTGCAATTAGTCCAACGCTCAGCAGCCACTACTAACAGGAGTGGGGTACAGGGAGCATACTACTCCTCTGTTGCGTCAGCTCCACTGGCTGCCAATCAGTTTCCGAGCACAATTCAAAGTGCTGGTGTTGACCTATAAAGCCCTAAACGACTCCGGCCCAATTTACCTGTCCGAACGGATTCTCCCCTATGAACCATCAAGGTTATTAAGATCTTCTGGAGGGGCCCTGCTCTCGGTCCCTCCTCTTTCGCAATCGCGATTGGTGGGAACGAGGGACAGGGCCTTCTTGGTGGTGGCCCCTCGGCTCTGGAACTCCCTCCCAATGGAGATTAGATCTGCCCCTTCCCTCCTCACTTTTAGAAAGCTGGTAAAAACATGGCTTTGGAATACTGCATTTGCAGAATGATGACTGAGTCAATAACTGCTGACCACACGGGCGGATGGCGATGAATTTATGATTTATTCTGATGAACTGACCTTTTGTAAGTTGTATAACTGTATTTTAATGTATTTTTGTACTATTGTATTATGATGTTTACTGTGGTTTATCTTATTGTATTTTAATACTGGTAGCCAGATTTTGTTCATTTTCATGGTTTCCTCCTTTCTGTTGAAATTGTCCACATGCTTGTGGATTTCAATGGCTTCTCTGTGTAGTCTGTCATGGTGGTTGTGAGAGTGGTCCAGCATTTCTGTGTTCTCAAATAATATGCTGTGTCCAGGTTGGTTCATCAGGTGCTCTGCTATGGCTGTTGTAAAAAAGGAGCTGGACATGTTTAGCCTGAAAAAGAGAAGGCTGAGAGGGGATATGATAGCCATGTATAAATATGTGAGAGGAAGCCACAGGGAGGAGGGAGCAAGTTTTCTGCTTCCTTGGAGACTAGGACGCGGAACAATGGCTTCAAACTACAAGAGAGGAGATTCCATCTGAACATGAGGAAGAACTTCCTGACTGTGAGAGCCGTTCAGCAGTGGAATTCTCTGCCCCGGAGTGTGGTGGAAGCTCCTTCTTTGGAAGCTTTTAAACAGAGGCTGGATGGCCATCTGTCAGGGGTGATTTGAATGCAAATTCCTGCTTCTTGGCAGGGGGTTGGACTGGATGGCCCATGAGGTCTCTTCCAACTCTTTGATTCAATGATTCAATGAAAATGAACAAAATCTGGCTACCAGTATTAAAAAACTCTAAAATTACAACAGCACAACAACAGAGAGGAAACAAACAAGGACATCTAATCACCTCTCAACAAAAGTTTGCTCCAGGCACTGTCAGGCCATTATATGCTAATCAAGGTGGTCAGTTGAAACATTCACACCTAGCTCCAGCAGACAAGAGTCCTTTGTCCCACCCTGGTCATTCCACAGATATATAAGCCCTTTTTCCTAGTTCCAACAGACCTCACTACCTCTGAGAATGCTTGCCATAGATCAGTGGTTCTCAACCTGGGGTCCCCAGATGTTTTTGGCCTTCAACTCCCAGAAATCCTAACAGCTGGTAAACTGGCTGGGATTTCTGGGAGTTGTAGGCCCAAAACATCTGGGGACCCACAGGTTGAGAACCACTGCCATAGATGCAGGCGAAACGTCGGGAGAGAATGCCTCTAGACCATGGCCATATAGCCTGAAAAAACCTACAACAACCCAGTGATTCCGGCCATGAAAGCCTTCGACAATACATAATATTCATGTTTTTCAAAATAATTTGTCAGATCTTCCAAAGGCCGTGTGGACAAACTTCGACATATCCAATATTTTCCTATGTGAATTCAAGAATATTATGTGTGTTACACTGTTGTAAATTGTCCCTATGTGTTTGTTTCTCACGCTTGTTTATTACATGAGTTTGTTTGGTATTTTTCTCATTACTCCAATTGGTATTTGTGCTGAAGCTTATAGTAATAGGGCATTTGTGTATTAACATTGTATTTATAGATTTCTTTTTTTAAAAATAATCTTTATTATTTTTCCATTAAAAAAAAGAGCATACAGTGCCAAAAGAGAATAAAAAATAATAATAAAGAAAAAGAACAAGACTGAGCGGGGAAAGTATCAGGGTCAAAAGTGGGGTAACAGGATAGCAAGAGAGAGAGAGAGAGAGAGAGAGAGAAAGAAAAAAAAAGGAAGTGTGTCCGGTTTCTTCCGTCAGAATGCTCCTTTTAACCAAATATCCTACTCCGCTCGCTTCCAGTGGATACTTGGGTTATACTGAGTGTGTGGTGAAGAAGCAGAGTTAAGGAAAGTACACAGTGAGGGTGGGGTTTGTTAATTGTGATTATGGGTTGACTTCCTGGTACTTACTTCCTTACTTAGGCGATCCCTCGTTGGACGAGTAAGATGGTCTTCCATTATGGATTTCCTTGTGGGTCCGTATGTGGCTGTGGAGCCCTATTCTTGCTCTGCATCTTCTTCCGCAGTGAGGGCATTGGTTTTTTTTCCTTTTTTCACCTCCGTGCTCCCCTCCACCCGTTACAAGCCACATTTCTTACATTTCATCAGTCCAAAATTTCATTTCTTCTTGTGACGGTAATTTTCCTTCCTTATTTTTTAATCCATTTACCACAAATCTTCCCCATACAGCATCAAAATCACTTTGTTTCCATATACCTTTTTTAACCTTTAATATACATGTCAATTTATCGTTTATTGCTATTTTCCATGCTTCTTTATACCACTCCTCTATTTGTATATTCATTTCTTTTTTCCAATTCCTTGCTATGAGCAGTCTTGCTATAGTTAGTAAGTTTGTTATCGCTTCTTTATCCTCCTTTTTCAATTGCTTATTGGTATATAATGATAGTAAGGCTATACTAGGACTTTTGTCTATTTTCATATTCATTATAATTTCTATTTCTCTAAATACTTTCTCCCAAAAATTATTTACATATTTACATTGCCACCACATATGTATATATGTTCCTGGTTCTTGACACCCTCTCCAGCAATTTATTGAATTATTCTTATTCATGTATGCTATTCTTACTGGTGTTAAGTACCACTTCCATACTAGCTTATAATAATTTTCTTTAACTCGTATCGATAAATTTTTTAAATGTCTTTGTCCCCATAACTGTTGCCACTCTATTTCACTTATTTTTATCCCTAAATCCTCTTCCCAAATCTCCTTAAGGGTACACTTTTTTATTTTTCCATCCATATTTCCATTCCTGTAATCGTCACATTCATTGCACTGATTAACCAAATGCCTGTTCGAACATCCAAGTTTTTAATCTCCTTCGGAACACCATTAGCGAGGGGGCTGATCTTACCTCCATGGGAAGGGCGTTCCACAGCCGAGGGGCCACCACAGAAAAGGCCCTGTCTCTCGTCCCCGCCAGCCGCACCTGTGAAGCAGGCGGGATAGAGAGCAGGGCCTCCCCAGAAGATCTTAGGGTCCTGGCGGGCTGATAGGCAGAGATACGTTCGGATAGGTAACTTGGGCCAGAACCGTAATAGGTCCCTTCCTGTTCTCCACACTTCCAGCATTTTGTATTTGCCTTTTTGTTAAATTTTCCTAATCTGTGTGGGGTTAGGTACCATCTATGGGCCATCTTAATCCAATTTTCTTTGAGTTCCATTGCCTTTGAATATTTTAATTTCTTATTCCATATCTCTTCCCATTCTTCCTTTCTTATCTCTCTTCCTAGGTTATCCTTCCATTTTTTCATATAAATTTTCCCCTCTTCTTTGTCTCCCGATTTTTCTAGGAGCTTTTTATATATTTTTGAGATTAATTTACTTTCCGATTGCATTATTTTGTCCCAGAAATTTGTTCCCTCTTCGAATCCTTTTTCTTTATCTATCTTGAAATGTTCTTTGATTTGTTCGTATTGGTACCAGGAAATTTGGTTGTTTAATTCTTTTAATTCTTGTTGACTTTTCATCTTAAATTCTCCTCCTTCTTTTTTTATTATATCTTTGTATTTGGGCCAGTCGTTCCATTCTGTTATTCTTCTTTGTGAAGCTTCGAGCGGGGATAGCCATGTTGGTGTTTTTTTTATAGAAGTTTTCTTTATATCTGTTCCAGATTTTAATCAAGGAGGATTGTATTTATAGATTTCTGTGTAGTTAGAGGTCCTAATCTCTGGCCAGGAAGCCCCAGAAGGGCAACTGAGGTAGGGGCAATGCAGGTGTGAGACGTGCTGCAAAGGAAGACAGAACAGGAGGGCCTGGAGCAGCCTGCCTCGTGCCCTGGGCACACAGGGCCAACTTCAGCGTCACCAGGACCCACATCCCACCCAGGCGGGGCCCTTATCTGCCTTCTTCAAGGTTTACAGCCCCAGCCTGGCCTTGACACCCAGTGATAAGGCCACCGCTGGGCCAGAGTCCGGCTGCCATTACCGGAGCTGAAAACAGCCTGGCGTGGAGCATGCACTTGGAAGACCCATTGCATCGTCACTGGGACCTTGCAAAGTCCCACCTCCACCCCTGCCATGGTGGAGCCCCATTCTGCGAGCATCGAGGACAAAGGGCCTTGCGGGGAATTGAGATGTGGTGGAGCCAAGGCGTTTGTCTGGCAGCCCAAAAGCAGAGAGCAAAGGGCAGGTCGGGTGGGGCCCAATCGGCACAAAGGCCAAACCAGGGCACGAAACGACAACAGTATCATAGAATCATAGAATCAGAGTTGGAAGAGACCTCATGGGCCACCCAGTCCAACCCCATTCTGCCAAAAAGCAGGAATATTGCATTCAAATCACCCCTGACAGATGGCCATCCAGCCTCTGTTTAAAAGCTTCCAAAGAAGGAGCCTCCACCACACTCCGGGGCAGAGAGTTCCACTGCTGAATGGCTCTCACAGTCAGAAAGTTCTTCCTCATGTTCAGATGGAATCTCCTCTCTTGTAGTTTGAAGCCATTGTTCCGCGTCCTAGTCTCCAAGGAAGCAGAAAACAAGCTTGCTCCCTCCTCCCTGTGGCTTCCTCTCACATATTTATACATGGCTATCATCTCCTCTCAGCCTTCTCTTCTTCAGGCTAAACATGCCCAGCTCTTTAAGCCGCTCCTCATAGGGCTTGTTCTCCAGACCCTTGATCATTTTAGTCGCCCTCCTCTGGACACATTCCAGCTTGTCAATATCTCTCTTGAATTGTGGTGCCCAGAATTGGACACAATATTCCAGGTGTGGTCTAACCAAGGCAGAATAGAGGGATAGCATGACTTTTCTAGATCTAGACACTATGCTCCTATTGATGCAGGCCAAAATCCCATTGGCTTTTTTTGCCGCCACATCACATTGTTGGCTCATGTTTAACTTGTTGTCCACAAGGACTCCAAGATCTTTTTCACACGTACTGCTCTCGAGCCAGGCATTGTCCCCCATTCTGTATCTTTGCATTTCGTTTTTCCTGCCAAAGTGGAGTATCTTGCATTTGTCCCTGTTGAACTTCATTGTGTTAGTTTTGGCCCATCTCTCTAATCTGTCAAGATCGTTTTGAATCCTGCTCCTGTCCTCTGGAGTATTGGCTATCCCTCCCAATTTGGTGTCGTCTGCAAACTTGATGATCCTGCCTTCTAACCCTTCGTCTAAGTCATTAATAAAGATGTTGAACAGGACCGGGCCCACAACGGAACACTGCGGCACTCTGTAGGGGGAGATGCAGGAGGGATGGTAGTGAGGTCTGTTGGAACTAGGAAAAAGGGGTTTATATATCTGTGGAATGACCAGGGTGGGACAAAGGACTCTTGTCTGCTGGAGCTAGGTGTGAATGTTTCAGCTGACCACCTTGATTAGCATGTAATGGGTCACACCGTTTACAGAAAACCCCCACACACAGATAGATATCTACATAAAAACTCCAACCATCACCCAAGTCAAAAAAGTAGCACCATTAAAGCCTTGGCAGACTGCACAAAAAGAATCTGCGAACCCCACCTCCTTCAAGATGAACTGAACCACCTAAACTGGGCTCTACAGGCCAATGGCGACTCCACCTCAGACATCAGAAGAGCTGCAAGACAACCGAGAAGAAGCCACGAGAATAAAGATGAAGATCCACCCAGAGAAAAGTGTTCTTGCCATACATCAAGGGAACCACTGACCGCATAGGGAAGCTGATGAGGAAACACAACATACAAACTATCTACAGACCCACCAAGAAAATCCAACAAATGCTACGTTCAGCAAAGGACAAGAGGGATCCTCTCACTTCTGCAGGAGTCTACCGTGTACCATGCAGCTGTGGACAAGTCTACAGAGGGACCACCAAATGCAGCAGCATTGCCCAAACACGAATCAAGGAACATGAAAGGCACTGCAGACTACTTCAACCAGAGAAGTCAGCCAGAGCAGAGCACCTGATGAACCAAACTGGACACAACATATTATTTGAGAACACAGAAATGCTGGACCACTCTCACAACCACCATGTCAGACTACACAGAGAAGCCATTGAAATCCACAAGCATGTGGACAATTTCAACAGAAAGGAGGAAACCATGAAAATGAACAAAATCTGGCTACCAGTATTAAAAAAACTCTAAAATTACAACAGCACAACAACAGAGAGGAAACAAACAAGGACATCTAATCACCTCTCAACAAAAGTTTGTTCTAGGCACTGTCAGGCCATTATATGCTAATCAAGGTGGTCAGTTGAAACATTCACACCTAGCTCCAGCAGACAAGAGTCCTTTGTCTCACTCTGGTTATTCCACAGATATATAAAGCCTTTTTCCTAGTTCCAACAGACCTCACTACCTCTGAGGATGCTTGCCATAGATGCAGGCAAAACATCAGGAGAGAATGCCTCTAGACCATGGCCATATAGCCTGAAAAAACCTACAACAACCCAGTGATTCCGGTCATGAAAGCCTTCGACAATACACAGTTGGCCATGGGGGTTCTGTGTGGGAAGTTTGGCCCAATTCTATTATTGCTGGGGTTCAGAATGCTCTTTGATTGTAGGTAAATTATAAATCCCAGCAACTACAACTCCCAAATGTCAAGGTCTATCTTCTCCAAACACCACCTGTGTCCACATTTGGGCATTTTGAGTATTCGTGCCAAGTTTGGTCCAGATCCATCATTGTTTGTGTCTACAGTGCTCTCTGGATGTAGGTGAACGACGACTACAAAACTTACGGTCAAGGCCCACCAAACCCTTCCAGTATTTTCTTAAGTCATGGGAGTTGTGTGTGCCAAGTTTGGTTCAATTCCATCATTAGTGGAGTTCAGAATGCTCTTTAATTGTAGGTGAACGATAAAACTCCGCAACTACAGCTCCCGAATGACAAAATCAATCCCCCCAACCCCACCAGTATTCAAATGTGGGTGTATTGGGTATTTGTGCCAAATTTGATCCAGTGAATAAAATACATCCTGCATATCAGATATTTACATTACACAGTTCTTGTGGGTTTTTTCAGGCTATATGGCCATGTTCTAGAGGCATTTCTCCTGACGTTTCGCCTGCATCTATGGCAAGCTTCCTCACAGACCTCACCTCTGAGGATGCTTGCCATAGATGCAGGCGAAACGTCAGGAGAAATGCCTCTAGAACATGGCCATATAGCCCGAAAAAACCCACAAGAACTGAGTGATTCCAGCCATGAAAGCCTTCGACAATACATATTTACATTACAATTCATAACAGTAACACAATTAGAGTTTTGAAGTAGCAACAAAAACAATTTTATGGTTGGGGCCACCACAACATGAGGAACTGTATTGAGGGGTCGTGGCATTAGGAAGGTTGAGGAAACACTGTGCTAGAAGCCTTTGTTTGCAAAATGCCAATGCTTAGAAAGTTGCTACAGTTAGGTGAATGCTCTCTGTGTCTTCAAGGATCAATCTATAAGCTAGTACTGCACTCCCTAAATTTCTCATGCACTTGAAAGTGAAACAGAGCAACTAGATAAGGCCGACCCGCAGATGTTATGACCAGGGCCAGAGGCACAAACAGTGCCATTGTTAAGACACCTTTAGCTGTTAGAGAGACAGGGCCAAGAAGAATCAGCTAGCTGAGACCAATTAAGTCAGTGTTTCTCAACCTTCCAAATGCTGCAACCCCTAAATAGAGTTGTGGTGGTGACCCTGAACCATAAAATTATATTCATGCTACATTCATAACTCTAATTTTGCTACTGCTATGAAACGTAGTGTAAATATCTGATACATTGGATGCATTTTCATTCACCAACGATGGAATGGAACCAAACCTGGCACACAGAACTCTCATGACCAAGAGAAAATACTGGAAGGACATTGACCTTGAGTTTGGGAGTTGTAGTTCACCTATATCCAGAGAGCACTGTGGATTCAAATAGTGATGGATCTGGACCAATCTTGGCACAAATACTCAATATGCCAAAATGTAAACACCAGTGGAGTTTGGGGGGAAATAGACATTGACATTTTGGAGCTGTAGTTGCTGGAATGTATAGTTCACCTATAATCAAAGAGAATTCTGAAATCCACTAGAGAAAATTGGGCCAAACCTCCTACACAGAACCCCCTTGATCAACAGAAAATACAGTGTTTTCTGATTTTGGGGAATTTGGGGGAAATAGACCTTGATATTTGGGAGTTATAGTTGCTGGGATTTATAGTACACCTATAATCAAAGAGCATTCTGAACCCCACCAAGAGAAATGTGCCAAACTTCCCACACAGAACTCCCATACCTTGAAGGAACTCGCTGGCATGAGCCTTCCTCCAGCCTTGCCCGCACATGCGCACCATGCTGTCATATGCTGAACACCTCGGCTCTCCTTTCCTCGCTTCGAGTCTCAGAAACAGCCCCCCCCCCCTTAGCTTAGAGGCTGGCCAATCACAGCGGAGGAGGGCCTTTGGTGGGAGGATTCACCATCTCTGAGGATGCTTGCCATAGATGCAGGCGAAACGTCAGGAGAGAATGCCTCGAGAACATGGCCATATAGCCCGGAAAAACCCACAAGAACCTCACTACCTCTGAGGATGCTTGCCATAGATGCAGGCGAAACGTCAGGAGAGAACGCCTCAAGAACATGGCCATATAGCCTGGAAAAACCCACAAGAACCTAGATTCACCATCTGCTTCCAAAAAGGAAGAGGACAGGCAGAGAGATCTTCAGCCTTCTCTGGCAAAGGGACGCCTGAGACCATCAGAAATATAGGTTTTCTTTTTTCCCCAAATTTTAAATAATTTTAATAAGACTAAAGTGATTCTTATTCTCATAAATCTCATCTGAACTCTATTAAATATTCTGGGTAGATCTGGTTGCATCAAAGATAACAAAAATCTTTGGGTTGTAAATATTATCCACACAGCCGTCATATAAATTAATAAGGGTCCCATCTTTTGAAGGTGGTCTCACATATTTAGCCTGCCGAAGAATGTAGTCTCCAGTCAATACACGAGCAAGAAACATCATTTTATGCTTTGTAAAGGCCAAAGCTAGTGTCGTCCTGAGGAGAGCGAGTAGGACAAAGTCTATTAGTGTTAGTTTGCCTCAGTGAGGGAACTCCTCATTCTGTGTGAGGTAAACCTCTGAGTGAGAGAAGCCTCGTGTGAAGAAATATAGGTTTTCTGATGGTCTTTGGCAACCCCTCTTTTTTTTTTGGTCGTGTCAGGAGAGACTTGAGAAACTGCAAGTCGCTTCCGGTGTGAGAGAATTGGCCATTGCCCAGGGGACACCCAGATGTTGTGATGTTTTAACATCCTTGTGGGAGGCTTCTTATCCGCTCTCCCCGGATTTGAACCTGCGACCTCTCTGAAACCCCCTCACGACCTCTCCAGGGGCCGAAGAGCCAGCGTTGTCCGTAGACACCTCCAAGGTCATGTGGCCGGCATGACTCCATGGAGCGCCGTTACCTTCCCGCCGGAGCGGTACCTATTGATCTACTCACATTTGCATGTTTTCGAACTGCTAGGTTGGCAGAAGCTAGGGCTGACAGCGGAAGCTCACGCCGCTCCCCGAATCGAACCTGCGACCTTTCGATCAACAAGCTCAGCGGAAGCTCACGCCGCTCCCCGGAATCGAACCTGCGACCTTTCGATCAACAAGCTCAGCAGCTCAGTGCTTTAACCCACTGCGCCAACGGGGGCTCCTTGATTACTGTACAGCAATGAAAATGTGCCTTTAACTTTCAATAAAAGTGATAAATAAATATGCTTGTACCAAATTTTGGGTGCGACAAAACCTTTTGATTGCATTTCTGTGTTTTATCATGATTGCTATGACCCGCAATAAACAACTTCTGCAGTTGGAGATTTAATTTTGTGGTGTCCTTCCTTTCATATTGCTCTTCAGCAGAGGGGGACTCCGGCCTTCAATGGGATTGTAGGAGGACCCCTTCACCCCTTCAGCAGGAGACTTCTCAATGGGCATCCTCGGACACAAGGCATGGCTTGCAGAAAACAGGCACAAGGGTAGAAGGGAGGACCGGGGGCTCAGTCCCTCCATGTGGCCATTTTGCCAGGTGCAGGCTGAAAGAGGGCTCCTCCCCACAATCCCCAAGCATCTTGGGCACTGAATGGAGAGCCAGGAAGGCACTCTCCCCCCACACCAGGCAGCAAATACAAGTAGTAGCCAAACACCATGAACCAGGAAGAAGTCTTGTTAATGCAGCGAAGTCCCTGGTGCTCAAAGGCCTTGGAAGGATAGACAATGCTGCTGCTGCTTCAGTCTCTCTCTGAGGCAAAAGAGGCCCAGTCCAGGCTGACTGTTTGTGGGCAGTTGAGGAGGGCGTCACAGTCCTTCCTCCCATAAGCTACGTCCCTTGCCCCACAGTCCTGGTCATCAAGGCAGGGAATTTAAGAGCCCGAAGGAGTTGCCTTGGACTTGGTGGCTGGCGTCCTCGGCCTCCGCTTCTTGAAACTGAAGCTGCGCAGGGGGTTCTTCTGGCCCTGAAGGGAGGAAGGGGGAGATATGGTTGATGTTGCAGCCTCAAGGAGCAACTAATCTGCAAATGCACTATCAAGTGAAACGACTAAAACACTTTTGGGTCCACTAAAATTGCTTTTTTCCTCTTCTTTGGGGAATGGCAGCACACAAGACTTAATCCCCAAAGCTTTCCATAACTAAAGGTGACACACAGTGCAGACGCAGAAGGAACGTCCACTTGGAGAGTCCTTGGGACCAATCCCCAGAATATCATCACTACAGAAGCACTGCTTTGTCAGAAATATTGGATAATTGGGTATTTTTCATTACAAAAGGGTGAATCAAACACTGAAAGAGTGAGTAGGTCAAAGCCTGTTAAGAGTTAGTAGGCCAAAGCTAGTGTCGTACTGAGGAGAGTGAGTAGGCCAAAGCCTTATTAGTGTTAAGTTTATTTATTTATTTATTATTTATTTACTTTATTTGTATACCGCAGTTTCTCAGCCCGTAGGCGACTCAACGCAGTTAACAACAGCAGGAGCAAAAATTCAATGCTAGCATCATACAAACCATTTAAAAACAATTAACACAATAATACACTAAGTAATTACACATCAGTAAACAACTCAATAGCATCTCATAACTAGAATCATGATCCAGCTCGTCATCCGTAGTTCCGTTTTCCTATATTCATTGCACTGCCTATCCAAACGCCTGCTCAAATAACCAGGTTTTCACTTTTCTCCGAAATACCATTAATGAGGGGGCCGATCTAATGTCCGTAGGAAGGGCGTTCCACAGCCGAGGGGCCACCACTGAGAAGGCCCTGTCCCTTGTCCCCGCCAAACGTGCCTGCGTTGCAGGCGGGATCGAGAGCAAGGCCTCCCCAGAAGATCTTAAAAAGCCTCGTGTGAGAAAGCTCCAGTGTGAAGGCTGCTGCATGTAAAGCTACTATGTATTTGTTTATTTGTGTTGTGGAAACCTTGCTCTTGTAAATAGTGCAACCATATTATTTTACTACAAAGAAATTTACGATATTTCTACCCAACCTTTCTCGAACCCAAAGGTGACTCAAGACGTCTTTACAACATAGGCAGCTAATCGATGCCATTAAAAAAGGGGTCCTCAAACTAAGGCCCGGGGGCCGGATACAGCCCTCCAAGGTCATTTACCTGGCCCTCACTCAGGGTCAACCTAAGTCTGAAAAGACTTGAAAGCACACAACAACAACAACAATCCTATCTCATCAGCCAAAAGCAGGCCCACACTTCCCATTGAAATACTAATAAGTTTATATTTGTTGAAATTGTTCTTCATTTCAATTATTGTATTGTTTTTAAGTGTTTTTTGCACTACAAATAAGATATGTGCTTTTGTGATTTTTGAAGATTGGGACTCTGCATCTTTGCCCCCTAAGCTCTTAATTCTTTACAGCCACATCACACGGCACTTCACGCGCTGCTTGTTAATGATGCTCAACTTTAGTATCCTGTTTATTTTTTGATACTCTGCTCTATGTAGGGTAGATTTTCCTAACACAAGCAAGAAACCAACCTTGTTGCTGCGCGGGGGGATCCGCTTCTGCCGCTGGTGCTTCCTCAGGAACGGCCGGGCAACAGACCGGAGGGTGGGGGGCACTGTGGGAGGGAGGGAGGAAGGCAGTTGTCGGACAGCATGGAAGCAAGAGGGGGCTCGACCCCCCACCCCACGTCCCACTTCAAAAACTATTGCCAATTGGATCTTCCATTGGCTTCCTCCTCACTCCCGGCCAGTCCATGGTGATTTCCTAGAGAAGTGACCCACTCTCCTTCAGCTGAAGGGATGTGGTGGGGCTCCCTGGGCAAAAGGCCCAATGAGGGGTTGGGAGACTGGAAGTGAGGAGCAGGAGGGGAAGAAGGAGAGTGCCGCCCCCTCCATCCAATGCCCTTCTGCCCAGGGGAAACTCTCCCTCACCCCCTTGGCCTCCCTTGCAACTCACCCAGGTATTCCGGTACATTGCGCAGGTGGGGCTTGACCACAGCCGGGTGAAGGGGCTTGTCATGGCGGAGCAGGTCCAAATCCCGGGGATTGTCCTCAAAGTAGGTCTGGGGGTGGGGGAAAGAAGGGGCAGTGAGCAGGAGCCAAGCATCACCCCACAGAAGCCAATGGAGAAGGGGCCTCCTCCTCTCCCCAATGCAAACCCCAGGAGGATACCTTCAGCTTCTCAGAGTTGAGCAGCTCCTCCTTGATCTCCCGAAGACGGGCTTCTTTGATGGCTTGCTTGGTGACTGAGCGCATGGCATCCTGGGAGGAAAGGGGTCAAATCGAGAGATATTTGGGGGGTGTAACCCATATCGACTACTCCCCAAAGCAGAACTGATCCTAAGCTGGCCAGGAATATATGTACATTTATTATTATTATTATTAGGTTCTTGTAGGTTTTTTCAGGCTATAGGGCCATGTTCTAGAGACATTTCTCCTGACGTTTCGCCTGCATCTATGGCAAGCATCCTCAGAGGCATTGAGGTCTGTTGGAAATAGGAAAATGGGCTTATATATCTGTGGAATGACTGGGGTGGGGCAAGGAGCTCTCTGCTGAAGCTAGGTGTGAATGTTTCAGCTGATCACCTTCATTAGCATTTGAAGGCCTGACTGAGCCTGGGAAAATGTTCTGTTGAGAGGTGTTAAGATGTGCCTGGTTGACACGCGCCTGCAACGCAGGTGGGATCGCGAGCAGGGCCTCTCCAGATGAACCAAGAGAACGCGTGGGTTCATATACGGAGATGCGGTCACGCAGGTAGGCGGGTCCCAAACTGTTTAGGGCTTTGTAAGTAAGCACCTGCACCTTGAATTGGGACCGGAAAAATGAACGGCAGCCAATGGAGCTCCTTAAACAGGAGGGTTGACCTCTCTCTGTAAGGAGCACCAGTTAACAACCTGGCCGCCGCCCGTTGGACCAGTTGGAATTTCCGAGCCGTTTTCAAGGGCAGCCCCACGTAGAGCGCATTACAGTAGTCCAATCTAGAGGTGACCAAGGCATTTGCCTCCCACTTCAAGCCATAAGAAGAGGTGGGTAAGAAATAAAATGATGATGATGATGACGGCGATGATGACTATGTTGGGATGCCCTGGTCGTTGGCCGCCATTTGCACACAGGGGATTTTGCAGCTGGGACATCCAATTGAGCTTCCCTGGTGCTGCAAGGAGCAGAGCCTCAAAAGGAGTCTGGCCCTTGTTCTCTTTCCGCCAGAGACAAATGAGTGCAAAGGCCTCGCCAGTTCAAGACACTCATAGTACCATGGAATCATAGAATCATAGAGTTGGAAGAGACCTCACGGGACATCCAGTCCAACCACCTGCCAAGAAGCAGGAAATTGCATTCAAAGCACCCCTGACAGATGGTCATCCAGCCTCTGTTTAAAAGCTTCCAAAGAAGGAGCCTCCACCACACCCCGGGGCAGAGAGTTCCACTGCTGAACGGCTCTCACAGTCAGATACTAGATTGCATAGCAGGCAAGAGTTTACAAAGCAAACAGACATAACCTGTGACTTTCCAAAGCCTCCAAAGAAGGAGCCTCCACCACACTCCGAGGCAGAGAGTTCCACTGCTGAATGGCTCTCACAGTCAGGAAGTTCTTCCTAATGTTCAGATGGAATCTCCTCTTGTAGTTTGAAGCCATTGTTCCGCGTCCTAGTCTCCAGGGCAGCAGTAAACAAGCTTGCTCCCTCCTCCCTATGACTTCCTCTCACATATTTATACATGGCTATCATGTCTCCTCTCAGCCTTCTCTTCTTCAGGCTAAACATGCCCAGCTCTTTAAGCCGCTCCTCATAGGGCTTGTTCTCCAGACCCTTGATCATTTTAGTCGCCCTCCTCTGGACACATTCCAGCATGTCAATATCTCTCTTCAATTGTGGTGCCAAGAATTGGACACAATATTCCAGGTGTGGTCTAACCAAGGAAGAATAGAGCATGGGGAGCATGACTTCCCTGGATCTAGACACTATAGTGTCTAGACACCCAGCCCTTCCCGTCAGCTCTCTTCCAGGGCAGGCAGAAAATAATAATAATAATAATAATAATACTTTATTTGTACCCCGCTACCATCTCTCAAGGGACTCGGTGCGGCTTACATGAGACCGAGCCCTAAAACAACAATAACAATAACACAAGGAGGAGAGGCTTGTAGTTACAGGAGACTCCTCCGAGCAAAGCCACTCGCTCACCTTGCAGCGGTAGCGGAAGCCCTCCACCTCATCCATCCGGAACTGGTAAGGCCGCAAGGGGGTTTCGCTGCTGTCTGGAGGGAGAAAGGAGCAGCTCTGGTGAAAAGGGCTACTGTGGAGAGGCACATTGAGGCCATCTCTGAACTGGCCTCCATTTAGAAAGAAATGAGGAGGGGAGAGAGAGAGAATGGGAGGCACCTAAAACCCAAGACTCCCCCAGACTCGTCCTCTCACCCCTGTCCAGCTAGGCCACGCTCCCTGATCCCAGCCAGAACTCCCTCCCTCCGCCCTCAAAGCATTACAGAGTTGGGAGAGAAGGCACAATCAAAGCACTCCCGACAGATAGCCATACATGGCATCTCCTTAAAAACCACCAGAGAAGGAGACTCACGCACCTCCCGTCAGCGCAGACTCAATGTTGGCCAGCAGCGGGTACTCAGCTGGAGAGACAAAGGTCAGAACGGTACCCGGATTGTCCACACGGGCCGTCCTGCAGGAAAGGGGGGGGGGAGAGAGAGGCAGGGAAAAAGTGTTGGGCAAGTGGGCTTATTAACAAAAGACCCTCCCCATAAATGCACAGCAAAGTGACTTATCGGCAGCCACGTGACCCAGACTCACTGGGAGAACAGGTCTCAGTGTTAGTAGGTCTCACAGTGTGAGGTAGACCTTAGTGTGGGAGAAGCTTCCAGAGGAGGCTTTTCTTTATAGCAGAATAATATGGTTGCACTATTTATAAGAACAAATAAAATTCAACCTTCACACTGGAGCTTCACACACAAGGTCTTTTCATACCGAGGCCTATCTCACACTGTGAGGCCTACTAACACTGAGACCTATTCTCCCACTGAGGAATTCTCTCACACAATGCTTCTCTCAGACTAAGACCTACCTCACACTGTGAGGCCCACTAACACTGAGACCTATTCTCCTACTGAGGAATTATCTCACACATGCTTCTCTCAGACTAAAGCCTACCTCACATTGTGAGGACTACTAACACTGAGACCTATTCTCCCACTGAGGCGTTCTCTCACATACTGTGAGGCCTTCTCTCTCTGTGAGGCCTTCTCTCACATACTGTGAGGCCTTCTCACAGACTAAGGCCTTTCTCCCACTGAGGTTTATCTCAGACTGACTGCTACTAAGCTACAGGGACGCATGCTTATATAGGACTGCAGCTTTTGCTGAGTCATTGCATCCATTTAGCCCTTTCAGTGTGACACACAAATACCTAGTTAATTTTTAATATTTCTGCCAAAAAGCACCTCAGGAAGTAGCCTCCAGAGCACCCCCATCCCCTCCAACAGAAAGGGCTGCGATGAGGCACCATCATCCTGGAAATTGGCCAAGCAATCCAAAGACCCCAAAATGCCTTAAATAACCTTTACAGTTTCTACAAATAAGTTGAAAAAAATGTTTTTCCAGAGTAGCTCCAGAGGAAATTCATATAAACTACACAGATGACAGAACCCTCCTCCTCCTCTGGAGCTTCTTCAAGGCAAGCTGCCCCTTCCACCCACGTCTGAGCCCTAGACCCAACTGACCTCCCGGCGCGGTGGATGTAGGACTCCACTGACGGAGGAAAGTCGAAGTTGAAGACTGCAGAGACATTCTGGAAGTCGATCCCACGTGAAACGCCATATTCCTGATCTTTAGTCCTAGGGAAGGGAGACACCGGGGGAGGAGGGGAGGCTGAAGGTCAAGTGCCTTCCCCCATTGCCTCCCCCCCACACACACACACACAAACACACTGCAGAAAGGACCCAAGCTCTGGGGGCCTGCAGTAGCCAAGGCACATGGGCTTCCTACAGCCCTAAAAGCTCTGAAGCAGGTGATGGAGGGGCTCCAATAGCTGAATGGATCCCTCCCAGGGTAAAGCCTTCCCAATGCAAGTGGGACTCAGGGGGTCTCTGCTGGAATGGTCTTGGGCAAGTGGAACCTGCTAAGCAACAAGTAAAAGACATCCAACAAGCCAAATATATAGATATTTAAATTTCACCAATCCACCCTCACAGGAAAAAATGCTTTAAGTTTGAGCTATTATACTTCCTAATTTCGTTAGTATGCAATCTTACTCTGTAATCTATTTTTGTCTTTGGCAAACAAAACACGACTGTTTCACAAGCCAAACATATAGATATATAAATTGCCCGCTCTCCAACTCCTGCCTACTTCTCTCCTTTGTGGCCCTTGCCGCCCCTCTTCCTCCTCTTCCCTTCCGGTGGCCTCTCCGGATCCGCCAGGTCCTGCTCGTCCGTCGCAATGATATAATCGTAGAAGCCCTTGTTGAACTGGCTGATGATGTGGCACCTGGAAGGGAACAAGAAGGCCACAGGTTCTCCCCAAAGCTCAGCAGTCCTTGCTTCACCCCAATCTTTGCTCTGTTTGAAAGGAAGTTATGCTGCCTCACCCTGTACTTGAGTGTATACCGTAATAATAATTTTTTGTGACATCTGCCTTTGTTTGATGGCTTGATTATATGCTTGTTTCTCTGAATAAAACATAGCTATAAAAAAGAAAAGTTGTGGGGACTTTGGCACTAAAGCTCCCAGGATCCTCATGAGCACAAGCCCCTTGGCTGCCTCAATTTCCCCTCCTCATTTTGCACAAACAGATGCGGCCTAAATGCTCACCGGGACTTAGCTGGCAGTTCTGAGTTGAGGACGCAGGCTGGGATGCTGAACTGCTCCAGGAAGAGCTTGAGGCGGTAGCAGCGATCAATGGAGCCTACAAAGAGGATGACCTTGCCCCGTACCAGTGAGAGCTTCAGCAGCACACAGAGGAGCAGGAACTTGTCCTCCTCCGCCTCGCACTGGATGTGGAACTGGCTGAGCTGGGAGGGGCCTGGCAACTGAGACTCCTGGAGTTTGAGGGTCACCTGGTAACAAACGCAAAGGCTCAGGTGAGGACCCCTTAATACAGTTCCTCATGTTGTGATGACCCCCAACCATAAAAGTATTTTTGTTACTACTTCATAACTGTCATTTTGCAATTGTTATGAATCATAATGTACATATCTGATATGGAGGATGTGTTTTCATTCACTGAACCAAATTTGGCACAAATACCTGATATACCCACATTTGAATACTGGTGGGGTTGGGGGGGGGGATTTATTTTGTCATTTGGGAGTTGTAGTTGCTGGGATTTATAGTTCACCTTCAATCAAAGAGCATTCTAAACTCTACCAACAATTGAATTGAACCAAACTTGGCATACAGAACTCCCATGTCCAACAGAAAATATTGGAAGAGTTTGATGGGCATTGGCCTTGAGTTTTGGAGATGTAGTTCACCTACATCCAGAGATCACTGTGGACTCAAACAATGATGGATCTGGACCAAACTTGGCACGAATACTCAATATGTCCAAATGTGAACACTGCTGGAGTTTGGGGGAAATAGACCTTAACATTTGGGAGTTGTAGTTGCTAGGATTTATAGTTCACCTACAATCAAAGAGCATTCTGAACTCCACCAATGATAGAATGGGCCAAACTTCCCACACAAAACCCCCATGACCAACAGAAAATACTGTGTTTTCTGATGGTCTTTAGCAACCCCTCTGATACCCCCTTGCAACCCCTTCAGGGCTCCCGACTCCCAGGTTGAGAAACACTGTTTTAGTGGGATATAAACACATATAATAATAATTACAGGGTTGTGCAGCACCAGTTCCTTTAGCGTCTGCACATCTTCATTGAAGGTAGCCGACATGACGAAGGTCTGGTAGATCTTGGGTAAATAGCTGGAAAAGAGAAGAGAGTCCAAAAATCCATGTGGCCAAATTAGAAGCTCAATCCTACCTCCAAAAGCCAACTCTATGAATCCGCTATTCTGCTTCTGAGCAAGGAAAGCGCATCCACAAAGTCAGCTTCTATTCTCTATTGTCTGGTCTGATGTATCTCTGAATCAGAGCTTGCCAAACGGTGTGTTGTGTGTTTCAGCTGCTGTGTCGCACAAATATAAGGAGAAACCTTACATGATCGTTATGTTTAAATATTTGAGGCCCTGCTCTCAATCCCACCCCCATTGCAGGTTCAACTGGTGGGGATGAGAGACAGGGCCTTCTCTGGGGTGGCTGCTGGGCTTTGGAACTCCCTCCCCAGGGAAATTAGATTGGCCTCCTCCTTCCTGAAAGTGAAGACTTTGTGGGACCAAGCGTTTGCACAATAATTTATTATTTATTTACTGTATTTGTATTCCCAGTGCAACAAGAATTTCTCAGTGCCATAATGAACAATGACAATTAGAATGGCTCCTGGAATATGCTTTTGGATTGTGTGATTTCAAGTAATTGTTGTAAGTTTTGTATGTTTAAAGTACATGTTGTTTTATTCTATATATGTATTTATGGCATCAAATTGTGCCTTTGTTGTGAGCTGCCTTGAGTCCCGTTCTGGGTGAGTAGGGTGGGATATAAACACAGTAAATAAATAAATAAATAAATTTGAAAGGCTGTCCTAAGGGAAAGGGAACAGGGCTTCCTTTCTGCTGCCCAAACACTAGGACTCAATAGAGCAGTGGTTCTCAACCTGTGGATCCCCAGATATTTTGGCCTACAACTCCCAGAAATCCCAGCCAGTTTACCAGCTGTTAGGATTTCTTGGAGTTGAAAGCCAAAACATCCGGGGACCCATAGGTTGAGAACCATTGCAATAAAGCCTGGGTTGAAACAACAGGGAAGGAGATTCCACCTGAACATGAGGAAGAACTTCCTAACTGTAAGAAGAGCTGTTCAGCAGTGGAAYTGTCTGCCTTGGAATCTGGTGGAAGCTCCTTCCTTGGAGGCTTTTAAACAGAGCCTACATGGCCATCTGTCAGGRGTGATTAGAGTGTGCTTTTGCTGCATGGCAGAAGGGGGTGGTCTCTTCCAACTCTATGATTCCACAATTCTATGAGGCCCTGCTCTCGATCTAGGTCAGTGGTTCTYAACCTGTGTTTCTAGGTTTTGGCCTACAACTCCCAGAAATCCCAGCCAGTTTACCAGCTGTTAGGATTTCTGGGAGTTGAAGGCCAAAAACATCTGGGGACCCCAGGTTGAGAATCACTGATCTAGGTGAAACAAGCAATAAGCCATGTACTCCTAAAATATAAATGAAARGTTCTCATGAGATATATTGTATTCCTATGCGCTTTATGTGTGTGCCTATATCTCTTATGAGGGATCAGTTTAATAATAATAATAATAATAATAATAATAATAATAATAATAATAATTTATTTATACCCCGCCACCATCTCCCCAAGGGGACTCRGGGTGGCTTACATAAGGCCATGCCCAGCAATACAGTAAAACAATATGACACAAGAACACAACAGAAAATAAGAAAATAAAAATAACATAAGAGACAAAACCAATATAAACAAACAGAACACCAATATAAAATCAGAGCATTAAAACACAGAAAATTGATCACAGCGGGCAAGGCCAATTGCAAAGATTAAAATTGAAACCTGGGTGAGAGGGCAATGTAATGTATCATGATAGGGGATCCGGGGGATGAGGTAGGGTTTAATTGCACTAACAGGTAAAGTAAAGTCCTACACCAGAATCAATAATTAAAAATAGTAATAAAACTTTATTTATACCCCGCCACCATCTCCCCAAGGGGACTCGGGGTGGCTTACATGAAGCCAAGCCCAGTAATACAGTAAAAACAATGTAACAAAAAAACACAACAGAAAATAAAGGAAAAAAGTAAAATACAAAAACCAACATAAATAAACAGAACAAACAATATAAAATCGGAACATTAAAACACAGAAAATGGATCACAGTGGGCAGGGCTAATTGCAAAAGATTACAATTTAAAACACTGGGTGAGAAAGCAATGTAATGTATCAAGGACAGGGGATCCGGGGGATAAGGTAGGGTATAATTGCACTAACAGGTAAAATAAAGTGCTTCCGAGGGCATTTTATGCCGGGTTTGGTCAGGGATTATTGTACATTTAATCACTGAACGCACACTGGAACAGTCAGTTTTCAGGCTCCTCCTAAAGACTGGCAGGGTGGGGGCTTGCCTAATACCTCTGGGGAGCCATAGCCGAGGGGCCACTACAGAGAAGGCCCTCTCCCTCATCCCCACAAGTCACGCTTGACCGTGTCGTGCATTGATGAAAGTCTGAAAATGATGTCCCAGACAGTTTGGAAAGCTTCGCTCTGGATGGTGAGCAGACAGCCCGCCCCGCCCCCCTTCCAGACCCCCATCTCTCACCAGAGCAGGCTCTTGAGGTCCTCCTCGAAGCCGAAGGAGAAGAGCAGGTCAGCCTCATCAATGACCAGCACCTCCAGGGTCTCCTGCAGGGACAGGCTGCGCGCCTGGAGGTGGGCCAACACCCGAGATGGAGTTCCAATCACCACATCTGGCTTCTCCATCAGGACTGGCCTGGGAGGGGGCAAAGGGCGTCAAGGTGCTGGAAGGGCCTTTCTTGAAGGCTTTTAAACAGAGACTGCATGGCCAACTGTCGGGAGGGCTCCGATTTTGCTTTTCTTGCATTGCAGGGGGTTGGGCTGCATGGCCCATGTGGTCTCCTCCAACTCTAGGATTCTAAGCGGACTCTCCATTGAGGCCCCTTCCTTCCTCCCTCCCTCCATTCTCCCTTTCCCCCTTCCTTCACCTGGACTTATCTCCTCCCAGTGGAATATCCCCAGCTCTTTATAAGCCACCCCTAAAGGAGCCAGACCTTTTTTGCTGGGAGGAAAGATGTGCTCCTCCACCTCCCGTCCAGATGTGGCCCCAAAAGCCCACGGTCCCCAAAGGAAGAACCTCTCTCTGTCCCTGAAGAATGGAGAAGAGAGAGAAAGGAGGAAGAAAAGGAAAGAAAAGAAAGGAGAAAAGGAGAAAGAAAGGGATGATGGAATGGAGGAACCAGAGAAAAAGGAGGCAGTGGAAGGAGACAGATAGGAGGGAGGGAAGGGGAGGAAGAGGAAGGAAAGAAAGGAGGGAGAGGAAGATAAGGAAAAGGAGAGAAGGAAAGCAAGCAGGAAAGAAGGAGAAGGGAAAATGTGAGGAGAGGAAGACAAAGAAGGGAAGAACGAATATACGAAGGAAAAGAGAGAAAAGRAGGGAAGTAAGTAAGGGAAAGATGGGAATGAAAAGTAAGGGAAAGATGGGAAAGGAAAAGAAGGAAGGAAGGAAAGAAAGAAGGGAAGGAAGAGAGAAAACAGGTAGGAACAGAGAGAAGGGGAAGGAAATGAAGGGTGGAAGAAAGGAAGAAGAGAGAAAATGGAAGGAAAGAAAGAAAGGACAGAAGAAGGGAAGAAACAAAAAAGGATGGAAGAGAAATAAGGGAAGGATGGGAAGAAATGAAAGATGGAAGAAGGGGGGAAAGTGAGAAAAGGAAGTGAGGGAAGGTGGGAGGGAAGGAGAGGAAGAGAAAAGAAAGGATGGTGGGAGAGATGAAAAAGCAAAGGAGGGAAGGAATGAAGACAGGAAGGGAGAGGAGGGGGACTGTTTGCAGGGAGGGAAGAAGAAGGGCAGCCCTGCTCCCGCCTTCATTTCCTGCCCAGGGTCTGCACTCACCTTTGTGCAGCGGCCTCCTCGGTGCCTGAGAGGTCTGCGAGGCGGATGTCGCGGGCACAGAAGGTGGTGAGGCGGCGGAGCATGTCCCGGGCCTGCCTCCCAAGCTCCTTGGAGGGCACCAGCACTAGGCCCCGCACGGCGGCCTCTTTYCCCCCACGGCGGAGGAGGAGGAGGCGGTGCAGGAGTGGCAGGGCATAAGCRCCCGTCTTCCCAGAGCCTGTCCTTGCCCGCGCCAGCAGGTCCTTGCCCTCCAGTGCCAGAGGGATGGCTTCGGCTTGCACCAGAGTCGGGCGCCGCCAGCCCAGTGCCGCCACCGCCTGAAGGGGAAAGAATAATAAACAAGTGGGTTGCTGTAAGTTTTTCGGGCTATATGGCCATGTTCCAGAAGCATTCTCTCCTGATGTTTCATTTGCATCTATGGCAGACATCCTGTGTAGTCTGATATGGTGGTTGTCAGAGTGGTCCAGCATTTATGTGTTCTCAAGTAGTATTCTGTGTCTACGCTGGCTCATCAAGTCCTCTGCTATAGCTGAAGATGTCTCTAGACTAGTGGTTCTCAACCTGTGGGTCCCCAGGTGTTTTGGCTTACAACTCCCAGAAATCCCAGCTAGTTTACCAGCTGTTAGGATTTCTGGGAGTTGAAGGCCAAAACATCTGGGGACCCACAGGTTGAGAACCACTGCTAGACAAAAACAGCCAGGCCAGCTCTACGCAGATATCCTCACTGCTTGACTTTGCGGCTGCAAGTCTACTCGATGCTAATCAAGATCACCAACTGCAACATCCACACTTGCAAAGGGTCTGTGGAATGATGTCCAGGATGGAAGAAAGAACCCTTGTCTGTTTGAAGCAAGTGTGAATGTTGCAATTAGCAAGCTTTAATAGCTCTGAGTAGCCATGACGTTCGCACAGTCTATCAGTGAGGGCATCTGCATAGAGGTAGCCTGGCTATTGTTGCCTGGAGGCATCCTCTGCTTAATTTCAGACTACACAGAGAAGCCACTGAAATACACAAAAGCACATGGACGATTTCAACAGAAAAAAAGAAAACCATGCAAATAAACAAAATCTGGCTTAGAGGATTAAAAAAACATCAGAATCAAAACAGTAAATAAGGAACACCACTCAGAAACAGGCGAACCCCAGATAGCAAACAATCAAGGGCCAGTTAATCTTCCCAAATAGAGGGTGCCTCCAGGCAACACAGGCCAGGCCACCTCTATGCAGATACCCTCACTGATTGACTTTGCAGTTTTATGGCTACTCGCTCACTGCACAATTCCTAACACCTGGAGGGAAGGCCCAAGTTTGCCCATGCCTGATCTACACTGTAAAAATAATGCAGTTTGACACCACTTTAACTGCCATGCCCCTGTGTTATGGAATATGGGGAGGAAAGAGGAAGGAAGAAAGGAGGCAAGCAAGCGCGAATGAACAAGGTCCAGACCTGAAGCAAACGGGGATCCAGGCCCAGGTGCTCGAAACTCGGCTCCTCGTCAGCCATGCTGCTTTCTGCTCGGCAGAGGACCAACTTCCGCCGGAAAACGGCGCCGCGCCTGCGCACATCAAGCACGGAGCATCGAGAGCTAGCTTTGCGGCCAGAACAGCCCGATGCTGCCCCCTAGAGGCCCGGGGGGGGAAGGGGGGCTCCCACCCAGCCTCTGAACAACATCAAACATCAAAGCCTTCCCCACAGATGGCCTTTCAGCCTCTGTATAGTATAATAATAATAATAATAATAATAATAATAATAATAATAATAATAATAATAATAATAATAATAATAATAATAATAATAGAGCTTCATCAAAACCCCCACAGGTGGCTTTCCAGCCTCTTTATAGTAAAATAATAATAATAATAATAATAATAATAATAATAATAATAATAATAATAATAATAATGGAAGAACCTCATCAAAGCCTTCCCAACAGATGGCCTTCCAGCCTCTATTGTAATATATTAATCATCATCATCATCATCATAATGGAAGAGCCTCATCAAAGCCTTCCCAACAGATGGCCTTCCAGCCTCTATTGTAATATATTAATCATCATCATCATCATTATGGAAGAGCCTCATCAAAGCCTTCCCAACAGATGGCCTTCCAGCCTCTATTGTAATATATTCATCATCATCATCATCATCATCATCATCATCATCATCATAATGGAAGAGCCTCATCAAGGCCTTCCCAACAGATGGCCTTCCAGCCTCTATTGTAATATATTAATAATAAACATCATCATCATAATGGAAGAGCCTCATCAAAGCCTTCCCAACAGATGGCCTTCCAGCCTCTGTTTTGAAGCAGAGGCTGGGGCCCCATCTACACTGTCACAGCTTACCATTTCAGAATGCCATTCCACCACATGGAATAGGATTATATGAGCTTACGCTGCAATAGAATGCAGTTAAACCATTCCAAAACTGCTTTCTGTGGCAGTGTAGATGGGGCCTGGCTCGCCATTCCTCCTCCTCTTCCTCCTCAAAATGGAAGAGGCAGAAGGTGGTTCAAGCAGGCCTGTCCAGCACTGAAGGGACGGAGGTCCGCAGGGTTGGGAAATTGCATTTCATAGCACCTTGGTTTTTTAAAAAATTCTGTTAAATTTGTTCAGATGGATTTGACAACTTTTGGAAACAAACTCCTGAACAGTCCTGAAAGCATTTGGCAGAAGAGCTAGTGCAGAATCCCTGTGTGCCTGATGGATGGATGGGAATTGTATGATTGGAGTCTGGCTATGGCCTATTAAGGTCTGTCGAGATTGAAAATGCCACCCCAAAATTAAAACCCGAATATGATTAACTTTGGCACGAAAGTGCTTATGAGAAAACTGACGAGAATGGAGCTGAGAACTTTTTGTGCAAACAACACGTTTACATGGCCAGAGACAATGACTCTGCAAGTTAAGGAAATTAAACATCTCTTCTGGAACCGAAGAGCTTTGAGCAAGTAAGTCTAAGCTCTTCAGTTCCTAAACAATCAAGAACAGTAGCAAAAGGTTCTACATAAGGAGGCCCTTTTCCTCTTTGAAAGTGTGCCAGATATGCAAGGCATGCAGATCTGAATACTCACCTCCTTCTTCCAACGAAGCCTGATGGATTGAATGAAGGATGGCAAGTATGAACATTGAATAAATGGATTATGAGTGAATTTTGGAGTAAATGTGATGTTCCCCTTTTGTCTGTGTAATCAATAAAGGTAAAGAAAGTATGAAGGAAGACAGAAAAAGGGAGGGAAGTAAGAAAGAAAAGAAGGGAAAGAGGGAGAAAAGACAGGAAGTATGAAGGGAAGATAGATAAAAGGAGAGAAGAAGGAAGAGAAAGAAGGGAAGGGGAAAGAAGAAGGGAGGGAAGAGAGAGAAAAGGAAGGGAGAGAAGCTATGAGTGGAGGAGAGGAAAAGAAAAAAAGAAAGATGATGAGGGAGGGGAGAGGAGAAAAAGAAACGGATAAAGGGATGAAACAGGAAAGAAAGAAAGAAAGAAAGAAAGAAAGAAAGAAAGAAAGAAAGAAAGAAGGGATGAAGGAATAGAAGGAAAAGAGAGAAAATGAGGGAAAGAAGGGAAAAAGCAGGAAGGAAGGAAGAGAAAGAAAGGATGAAAGGAAGAAGAGAACAAAGAATAAAGGAGGGAAGAAAGAGGAAGAAAGTGAAAGAAGGGATGAAAGGACGGGGAGAAGAGAGAAGAGAGGAAAGGGAAGAAACAGGAAGAAAGGAAGAGAAATAAGGGATGACAGGAGAAAGGGAAGAAAGAACAAAGGAGGGAAGGGAAGAAACAGGAAGGAAAGAAAGAAGGAAGAAAAAGAAGGGATGAACAAACTGAGAGAATAAAGGAGGGTAGGGAAGAAAAAGACAAGAAGAGAAAAGGGATGAAAGGAGGGAGGGAAGAGAGAAAAAAGGAGGGAAGGAAGAAACAAGAAGAGAAAGGAGGGATGAAAGGAGGAAAGGAAAGAAACAGGAAGAAAGAAGGGATGAAAGGATGGAGAGAATCATAGAACTGGAAGAGATCTTGGGCCATCCAGTCCAACCCCATTCAGCCAAGAAGCAGGAAAATTGCATTCAAACTTGATCTCCCACCTGTAAATTGATAGGCAGATGCTTTATCACTGTGCTACTTTGCCTTATGACAAGGCTGTCAGGATTATTGAGTTATGCTTGTGTGTTTTTCAATGTGTTTCTATGTAATTCAAGATGGATTAAGATGTGTTTCAAAATGGATTCTATTATGTTGTTCAATTGTGTATTAGAAATACTGTGAGAAGCAGAGAAAATGTAACCTTGACAGAAAATGTAACCTTGACATGTTCGCTGGCTGTGGGAAGTAGGAGGATCCGGTTACAGCCAGAGGTCTGATAAGCAGATGTTCTGAAACTGTTTATGCTGTGCTTTGTAGTTCCTGATTATAGCCCGCTAAGAATGGACGTGTGTAGATGTGCTTAGTAAACTTTGTGTTATTTGCAACTGTAAAACTGCAGAGTCCTGATATTTGGAGTCCTGTGTCTGTTGATCTAGCAACCTCTTCCGCTTCGCATATACCCCCAAATTCTCTGACAGAAGGCACCTCCGCCACACTCTGGGGCAGAGAGTTCCACTGCTGAACAGCTCTCACAGTCAGTAAGTTCTTCCTATGTTCAGATGGAATCTCCTTCCTTGTAGTTTGAAGCCATTGTTCCACGTCCTAGTCTCCAGGGCAGCAGAAAACAAGCTTGCTCCCTCCTCCCTGTGACTTCCTCTTACATATTTATACATGGCTATCATATCTCCTCTCAGCCTTCTCTTCTTCAGGCTAAACATGCCCAGCTCTTTAAGCTGCTCCTCATAGGGCTTGTTCTTCAGACTTTTGATAATTTTAGTTGCCCTCCTCTGGACACATTCCAGCTTGTCAACATTTCCCTTCAATTGTGGTACCCAGAAATGGACACAATATTCCAGGTGTGGTCTGACCAAGGCAGAATAGAGGGGGAGCATGACTTCCCTAGATTTAGACAGTATACTTTTATTGATGCAGGCCAAAATCCCATTGGCTTTTTTTGCCGCCACATCAGAAGAGAGAAACAAGGAGGGAAGAAAGGGAAGAAACAGGAAGGGAGGAAGAGAATGGAGTCTGTGTGTCTCCTTCTTTCTCTGAAAGTGCATAATGCACTTTGTCCCATTGAAAACGGATTAAAGCACAATTTAAGGTTCAAAAAGTATTGATGACATGAGCAGTCCCTTGGCACCCTTTGCTGGGGCCTCTGGCCATGAACAGATTCCCCCCCCCCCCCCCCCCCCCCCCAGCCCTCTCCCCCACCAATGGCTCCCAGTGAGAAGAAGGGCCACTCAGGAGCCCAATGCAGCCCAAGGCCCTTTTGGCCCAGAGCTCTCCCCTCTCGACACACAAGAAACAGTGCTTGCAGCAAAATGTTTATTTCACTCCAAAAACCGTAGCAAGGGACACTAGGAAGAACGTACCCTACCGAACCGGGAAGCAAAGACTCCTTGGGACCAAAGCGGTGGGAGAGGGGGGCGGGAGGGAACCTTGACACCATTTCAGGGTGCCAAAGGTCCAGCTCTGGCCCAGTCCAAGCAGAAACAGGAGGGGCCCTTCTCCCTTCTTCCTGACACTCTGGGCCCCAAGGGTGACTGGCTTCCCTGCCAAGGAACCAGAGACAGCATCAGGAGGAGAACAAAATACTAAGACTCTGCATTGATCTCCTATTGACTCTTAAATGGTGAGGATGGCCTAGTCACTGGTGCTAAGAGTTGTTCCTCTTAAAGAGATATGCTACCCCTGAAAGACAAGGATGTCCACAAATGAGCTCTGGCCTATGCTACCATCCCAAAAAATTGCACAAATGTCCTTCGCCCCATTTCCCCTGCGGCCCAAAGCGCTTATTGAAGCACAGTCACACAAAGCCAGTAGGAGAGGGGCACTTTGGGTCATCTCAGCCATCGGGCGACAGCACAAGGGGAGAAGGGAGGCCTCTTCACACCTGAGAAGCAACGCCTTCTCCTTCCGTTGTCCTGCTTTCCCTGAATTCCAGCTTCCTGAGCACAGGTCCAGGCTTAAAAAGGGCAGCCGGGGGCGAATGGTGGGCTTTGCAAAGGGGTATTTGTGGCTGAGCCAAGGGCAGTCTGTCTTGGGCCTCCATTTCAGTCCAGTGCTTTAGGAAATCCGGAAGCATGATGACACGTGCCGTAGTGGCCAAAGACGGGGGCTTTTGTGTGCCACCAGAGGATCTAAACCAATTTCTTGGCCTCGAAGAAACTCTTGAGGTGCCTCATCTGCCAGATGCCTGTCAGGATGAGGATGACCGTCTGGGCGATGGACCACCACAGCACCCGCTGGTTGGTGCTCTCGCTGGTCATGCGGAAACGCTCCTCCCGGTACTACAAAGCAGATGCACCCTGTCAGTGACAGAATCACAGCCCCATGCCTCTCCACAGGACACCAATCAGACCCCAGCCAAGCCCAGTGTGTGCCAAGGGCTAGGGACTATGCTGCATAAGTAGATGGGGAGGGCAGGACTTGCAATGGAGGCTTCTCCCAACTCACCCTTTGGTAGTTCTGCTCCTTCTGGATCTGCTCCACTTGGTCCAGGAGCTGCCTGGCCCTCAGCTGCAGCTCCGTCAACTTGTCCTTAGCTGCAATCTCCGGGTAGTTGTTGGCATGCTCCCCGACCTGCAGGTCCAGGTGGACACGCTGTGGAGGCACAAGGAAGAGAAAAAGGAGGAGAATAAGGAGGAGGAGGAGAGAGAGGAGGAGGAGAGGAAGGAAGGGGCAAGGAAAGAAAAGAAGGATGGAGGAGGAAGGACAAAAAGGAGGAAAAAGGAGGAAGAGGAAGAAAGAAGGAGAAGAGGGAGGAAGAGAAGCAGGAGAAAAAAAGGAGAGGAAGAGAAGAGGAAGAAGAAGGAAAGGAAGAAGAAGAGTAGGAGAGGAAGAGAAGGAGGAGGAGAAGAGGAGTAGATGAGATAAGAGGAGAAGGAGGGAGAAGAAAGAAAAAGGAGAAGCAGGAAGAGAAGTGGGAGGAGAGGAAGAGGTAGGAGAAGAGCAGGAGAGGAAGAGAAGAAGGAGGAAAAGTGGAAAGAGAAGGAGAGGAAGAGGAGAAGAAAAGGAAGGAGAGGAAGAAAGAGTGAAAGAGAAGAAGATGAGAGGAAGGAGCAGAAGGAGGAAATTAAATCAGCCTTGGATCAGGCAGATCCCCATGCCCCTGCCATCGCTTTCTGCAGCCCCTCACTCACCAGGGTGCCGCCTGCGAAGAGGGCCAGTCGCGTAGAGTTGGAGTGAAGGCAGAGCTGGTGCTCCCCAGGCGTGTGGGAGGTGAAAGTGAAGCGCCCCTCGGAGCCATACTGCCGCGAGAGGACCACCTGCAGCGAAGGGGGAGGACAGGGGGGAGACGTTGGGCTTTGGCCCCAGCAGCCCCTCTCTTTTCCCTCCTTTCCTAATGGCGTGTTGTGGCTCATTATGGTGTGAGATTCAGCACATAGGTGTGCCACATGAATGCCATGAGAAGCCTCTGAGTCTATGTAAAATGAGCAATAATTTGTATATTTTTGAAAATATGAATAAAAGGTGTGTTTTGCTATATTACATTTTACTTGACTTTTTTATCCCTGCTGCACCCCAACTTGAACCACAAGGAGAGGCAGGTAAAAATTACTATTACTATTATTATTATCATTATTATATTACAGTCTGTGTTCCTATCTCTCATAAAGAGTTGATTTAATCTCCGATTTGCTAGTAAGAATGAACAGTTGTGACCCAAAATGATGCATTGCATCAACGTCATCTGATCAACATGAAAGGTATGTCTTGTTACATTCTAATAACCTTGTTTTATTGCTCTGTTTTAACCCTGCTGTCACCCAACTTTAATCATAAAGAGGCAGGTAAAAACTATTATTATTATTATTATTTTGGCATTGCAGTTTGTGTCTGTGTCCCAAATTATTATTTTGAGATTACAATTTGTGTCTGTGTCCCTAATTATTTTGACATTACAGTTTGTCCCAAATTATTATTTTCACATTAGCTTATGTCTGTGTCCAAAATTATTAGTATTATTTTGACATTACAGATTATATCTGTGTCCCAAATTATTATTATTATTATTATTATTATTATTATTATTATGCCATTGCAGTTTGTGTCTGTGTCCCAAATTACTATTAATTTGACATTACAGTTTATGTCTGTGTCCCAAATTATTATTTTCATATTAGTTTATGTCTGTGTCCAAAATTATTAGTATTATTATTTTGACATTATAGTTGTTATCTGTGTCCCAATCTCTCCCTGGTGGCTCAGTGGGTTAAACCGCTGAGCTGCTTAACTTGCTGACTGAAAGGTTGGCAGTTCAAATCCGGGGAGTGGGGTGAGCTCTCACTGTTAGCCCCAGCTCCTGCCAACCTAGAAGTTCGAAAACATGCAAATGTGAGTAGATCAATAGGTACCACTTTGGAGGCAACACGACCATGCAGTCATGCTGGCCACATGACCTTGGAGGTGTCTACGGACAATGCCGGTTCTTTGGCTTAGAAATGGAAATGAGCACCAACCCCAGAGTAAGAGATAGTGATAAGTGAAGATAGAAAGGTAAAGGTAGTCCCTGACATTAAGTCCAGTCATGTCTGACTCTGGGGTGTGGTGCTCATCTCCATTTCTAAGCCGAAGAGCCAGCGTTGTCCGTAGACACCTCCAAGGTCATGTGGCCGGCATGACTGCATGGAGCGCCGTTACCTTCCCGCTGGAGCGGTACCTATTGATCTACTCACATTTGCATGTTTTCGAACTGCTAGGTTGGCAGAAGCTAGGGCTGACAGCGGTAGCTCACGCCGCTCCCCGGAATCGAACCTGCGACCTTTCGATCAACAAGCTCAGCAGCTCAGTGCTTTAACCCACTGCGCCACCGGGGGCTTATGTACTTGTATTATTATTTTGACATTACAGTTGATGCCTGTGTCCCTATCTCTCATAAGGGGTTGATGTGATGCCGGTTTGCTACTAAAACCGAACAGCTTTGACGCAAAATGATGTATTGCGTCTGTGAACGGTTTGGGAAGTAATACCAGTTTGAAAGTGGGTTAAATACTCAGTGTAGATGGAGACTTGGCACCACATTGTGGGCTTGCAACCCAGAAAAGCCCCCCGTTTAAAAATTGGCCTTAGGATCGCCTTGGTTTCCTTGGCCGCAGCAGGGCAAAGTGGGCTGTTTGCCTGGCAGGCCCTGCCCCTCCTCCTGGATGGCCCGCCCCTTCCGCTTCCGGCTGACCTTCCCATCCGGGTCCTTGACCTCCACGAACATGCCCAGGCCGGGCGTCGAGGGCAGGAAGGCCTCGGCTTGCTTGTCCCACAGCTGAGTCCGGTAGTTACCTAAAGATGAGAGGAAATGACGTGTTTACCCTTCTTGGCCCCGCCCCCCGGTCTCGGCCCCGCCCCCGCCGCTTCTGCGCATGCGCACCAATGACCATGGTCTCGTCCGGAATCTCCTCGATGAAGCATCGCTTCTCGGTCTCCCCGATGTGGAAGTAGAGCCCGAGCGCCCCTCGGCCCGCCGGCAGAAGCAGCACGAGCGCCGCCGCCCGGAGCATCCGCCAGGCCGCACAGCCCGCCATGGACGCCGCCTTCTTCGCCTCAGCCAGCCGCCGCGCATGCGCAGCCGGGGAGCGGCGAGGAAAACCCAATCAGGACAGCCCTGCGCATGCGCGGTGGGCAACTGGGCTGACTCGCTCACCGTAAGGGGAGGGGGGACGCCACGCCTCCGCCATTAAGCAGAAGCGGAAAGTGTGCCTGTCCCTTTAAGACTGTGGAACGGTGACGCCCAGGGTGGGAGGAAGAACCCCATTAGCCACATGAGTAGCCATCAAACTGCAAAGTCAATCAGGGAGGGTTTGGGAGGATTAACTGGCCCTTGGTTGCTTTCTGCCTGGAGTTGCTATTTCCATTCCTTCTCTAGTGTAAATGTTGCAATGAGCAAGCTTGCATAACATTGAGTAGCCATGAATCATGAACACCCCAGCAAGCGAGAGTCCAAAAGTGGCAGGCCCAAACCCAGCACCTCAATCTATAGGTGATACCAGATGAGAGACTCCCTCCTGGGCACTCAGAAGACTGGGCGACTTGGAAGGCGCTGAACAGACTGCGCTCTGGCACCACGAGATGCAGAGCCAACCTTCAGAAATGGGGCCACAAAGTGGAATCCACGACATGCGAGTGTGGAGAAGAGCAAACCACTGACCACCTGCTGTAATTCAACCTGAGCCCTGCCAGATGCACAATGGAGGACCTACTTGCGGCAACACCAGAGGCACTCCAAGTGGCCAGATACTGGTCAAAGGACATCTAACCAACTACCAAGTTTGCAAAATCTGTGTTTTTTTTTTCTTTTTAATCTGTGTGTTTGTTTTGTTCTGTTAGAATTGTAACACAATGGTATGGTTGCTGATGACACGATAAATAAATAAATGGAATCATAGAATCCTAGAGTTGGAAGAGACCTCATGGGCCATCCAGTCCAACCCCATTCTGCCAAGAAGCAGGAGTATTGCATCCAAAGCCACCCCCCGACAGATGGCCATCCAGCCTCTGTGTAAAAACCTCCAAAGAAGGAGCCTCCACCACACTCTGGGGCAGAGAGTTCCACTGCTGAACAGCTCTCACAGGAAGTTCTTCCTAATGTTCAGGTTGAATCTCCTTTCTTGTAGTTTGAAGCCATTGTTCCATTGTGTCCTAGTCTCCAGGGCAGCAGAAAACAAACTTGCTCCCTCCTCCCTATGACTTCCTCTCACATATTTATACATGGCTATTTTTATTTGTTTATATTTATTATTTAAACTTATATGCCGCTACTCCCCTGGGGCTCGGAGCGGCTTACAGAATAACTAAAATCTAACAAAATTTAAAAGCAATTTAAAACAATTTAAAAACAACAATATCAAACATTAAAAGCCTGTCGAAACAGGTATGTCTTACATGCCCTCCGGAAAGCTGATAAGTCCCGCAAGGCACTATCATGTCTCCTCTCAGCCTTCTCTTCTTCAGGCTAAACATGCCCAGTTCTTTAAGCTGCTCCTCATAGGACTTGTTCTCCAGATCATTTTAGTCGCCCTCCTCTGGACACATTCCAGCTTGTCGATATCTCTCTTCAATTGTGGTGCCCAGAATTTGATACAATATTCCAGATGTGGTCTAACCAAAGCGGAATAGAGCATGGGTAACATGACTTCCCTAGATCTAGACACTATGCTCCTATTGATGCAGGCCAAAATCCCATTGGCTTTTTTTGCCACCCCATGACATTGTTGGCTCATGTTTAACTTGCTGTTAAACATGAGGAGTAAGATCTTTTTCACACGTACTGCTCTCGAGCCAGGCATCGTCCCCCATTCTGTATCTTTGCATTTCATTTTTTCTGCCTAAGTGGAGTATCTTGCATTTGTCCCTATTGAACTTCATTTTGTTAGTTTTGGCCCATCTCTCTAATCTGTCAATATAGTTTTGAATCCTGCTCCTGTCCTCTGGAGTCTTGGCTCTCCCTCCCAATTTGGTGTCGTCTGCAAACTTGATGATCCTGCCTTCTAGCCCTTCATCTAAGTCATTAATAAAGATGTTGAACAGGACCGGGCCCAGGACGGAACCCTGCTGATGGCACTCCACTCGTCACTTCTTTCCAGGATGAAGAGGAAGCGTTGGTGAGAAGCACCCTCTGGGTTTGTCCATTTAACCAATTCCAGATCCACCTCACCGTAGTTTTGCCTAGCCCACATTGGACTAGTTTCCTTGCCAGAAGGTCATGGGGGACCTTGTCAAAGGCCTTACTGAAATCCAGGTACGCTACATCCACGGCATTCCCCGCATCTACCCAGCTTGTAAGTTTACAAAGGCAATCAATTAGGATATCTGCATATAGGTAGCCAGGTTGCTGTTGCCTGGAGGCACCCTCTGTCTAGAAGATGTTAACCGACCTTTCAAATGTTTAAAAAACAATACTTTTGGGTCTTTGGGGAGGCTCTTTCTGTGTCCCCTTTTTTATTGCACAACAAGCAGGTTTCAGACCAGGGAAAAACTGTACAGCCCAAATTCTTAATCTGACTGAGCACATTGAGGAAGGGTATGAGTAAGGTTGCATTACTGGAACAGTTTTTGTTGACCTTACAGCAGCCTATGACACAGTGCAACATAGGAAAATGCTGCAGAAAGTCTACCATATTACCCGAGACTATGATTTTACAAAAACTATCCAGACTCTCCTAGAAAACTGTAGCTTCTATGGAGTTTCAAGGCAGGAAAAGTAGATGGAGGAGGCAAAAGAATGGCTTACCCCAAGGCAGCTTTCTTGCACCAACCTTGTTTAATATCTTTACTAACGATCAGCCACAACCACCACTCACAAAGAGCTTTATATATTATTTATTTATTTATTTATTATTTGAACTTATATGCCACCACTCCCCTGGGGCTTGGAGCGGCTTACAAGAACAGGCTAAAATTGAACACAATTTAAAAACAATTTTAAACAATTTAAAAACAATCAGAGATCAAAGGCCTGTTGAAATAGATATGTCATATATGCTGATGACCTTGGCCTAACAACACAAGCAAAAGACTTTGAAACAGTTGAAATCCAACTTACTAATGCCTTGAAAGATCTCTCCTGCTACTTCAAAGATAACCACCTGAAGCCTAACCCTGTCAAGACACAAGTGTGTGATTTCCACCTACACAACCGTGAAGCCAACAGGAAATTGAAAGTCACCTGAGAAGGTCAAGAGCTTGAACATTGTTTCCATCCTAACTATCTCGGTGTCACCTTAGATCAAACACTAGCATATAGGAAACACTGCTTGAACACCAAGTACAAAGTAGCTGCACGCAATAACATCCTGCGGAAACTTACTGGCAGCACATGGAGTGCAGACCCAAAATTAGTAAGAACATCAGCCCTGGCCTTGTCTTACTCAACTGCCGAATATGCCTGTCCTGTTTGGCGTACGTCTGCCCATGCAAAGCAGGTGAACATAGCATTGAATGAAACATGCAGAATAATCACAGGATGTCTTAAACCTACACCTGTTGATAAACTCTACAAGCTAGCTGGCATTGCCCCCCCCCCCGATGTGCGATGGGAAGTTGCTGCTAAATGTGAGAGAAATAAGGTTGAACACTGTGAAAGCCCCCCACTACATGGCTACCAGCCTCCTCCCAGTAGACTAAAATCAAGGAAAAGCTTTATGAGAACCACCACTCCTCTTGGCGCCTCCCCAGTGACACCAATGGTCTCCCTCTGGGCAGCTAGAGCAGGAAATCCCAACTGGATGCCTCCCCCACGAGAGAGGGTCTTTCTCCAGGGGCAAACCAAGAATGAGCAACTTGGAAGTCTCTGAACCGACTCAGAAGTGGAGTGGGCAGATCAAAAGACAACCTGACAAAACGGCACTACCTAAAAGAATCCCACATCTTATGTGACTGTGGAGCAGAACAGACAACTACACATCTGAATGCTTGTCCACTGTGCCCTGCCTCATGTACAGAGGAGGAATTGTTGGAGGCTACAGACAGTGCCATTGCTATTGCCCGTTTTTGGTCAAAAGATATTTAGCCGCTTGCGCTCCTATTTTTATCGATTTTATACTAATTTATGCAATGCTTTTTATACGAAATAAATAAACCGACCTTTGATCATTTGTTGTCCGGAGTTCCCCTATTTCTGAGTGTTCTTTATTTACTGTCTTGATTTTGGTGTTTTTTTCATACTGTAACCCAATTTTGTTCATTTTCATGCTTCCTCCTTTCTGTTGAAATGGTTCAGATGCTTCTTGTGGATTTCAGTGGCTTCTCTGTGTAAGCCTGACATTAAACAGAAGATGCCTCCAGGCAACAACAGCCAGACTACCTCTATGCAGATACTCTCACTGATTGACTTTGCAAACTTGGTGGCTACTCGTGCTATTCAAGCTTGCCAACTGCAACATTAACACTTGCTTCAAACAGACAAGGGTTCTTTCTCCCACCCTGGGCATCATTCTACATACTCTACATGGGGCTGCCTTTAGACTATTCAGAAGCTTCAAGTAGTCCAATAGGCAGCAGCCAGATTTCTAACTGGAGTGGCGTACAGAAAGACGACATCGCTTCTGTTGCACCAGCTCCACTGGCTGTCTGTTTGCTACAATTTGGAGTGCTGGCTTTAGCCTATAAAGCCCCAAACGGGTCTGGCCCAGCTTACCTGTCCGAACATATCTCCCTCTATGAGCCAGCTAGGAAGTTAAGATCTGGGGAGGCCCTGCTCTTGGTCCCACCTGTTTCGCAGTGGGACCAAGAAGCAGGGCCTTCGCAGTGGTGGCCCCTCAGCTATGGAACTCCCTCCGTAGTTAAATTAGATAAGACCTCTTCTCCCTCCTGACCTTTAGGAAAAGGTTAAAGACATGGATGTATGACCAAGCATTCAGTGAGTAATCCATCAGTGCAATAAGACAATATGGAATAGTGCAATGAGAAATTGGAACGGCCGCAGACTACATTATCGGATTACGTGATTTTAAATAAGTGGTTTTAAATGTATTAATCATTGTTTTAAAATATATGTTTTTTTTATTATGTGTGTTTTTATGGCATCGAATCACTGCCTATATATGTAAGCCACCTTAAGTCCCCTATGGGGTTGAGAAGGGTTGGGTATAAATAGGTTAAATCAATTAAATAAATAAATAAAACATGGTCATTTTGAAATTACTCAAAGCCTGTTTCCCTTTTTGCCAGGCAGACAGCTGATATAAATCTCTGGAAATTCCAGGTCCCAGTTAGTCACCAGAGACGGATCTTTGTCCGTGAGTTTATTCAATCACAATAAACATCACGGTGAACATTAGCAAATGGAGCGCCACGTCGTGCCTCGATCCAGCTTCTGTTTTATAGACATTTTGATTCTTTTGAAATGGTTCTGTTCTGTGCACAAGTGTCAAAACTTATTACATCATTTTTTATTGAACTATAAATCCCAGCAACTACAACTCCCAAATGTCAAGCTCTATTTTTGCCAAACACCAGTGTTCACATTTGGACATACTGAGTATTCATTCCAAGTTTGGTCCAGATCAATCATTGTTTGAGTCCACAGGGCTGTATGGAAAACGGGGATCTGATCCTTGGCATTTTAGCATTTTAGAAGCATTTTAGTGTTATAGAAGTTTTGGAACTATGAGTTGGCAGGCTTGACCCGCATGTTCTTTTGCAGTGAGAACATTGATTTCCAGGTGGAAAGCGGTCCCAACAAGGGTTGGCTTGATGTGCCTTCTTCCTCTTGAGATGTTTCTCCCTTTCGCTCTCCATTCGTACCTCTTCGAATTCCAGAGCACTTTTAGTCACAGCTGACACCAAGTGGGTACGCTGAAGGGCCAGGGCTTCTTAGTTCTCTCTCTGTGTCTCTGCTAACTGTTTCTAAGGTCAGCTTTGAGCCCATCTTTCAATGTCTTTTCCTGTCCAACATTCTGTTTTCCATTCTTGAGTTGGGAATAGAGTAACTGCTTTGGGAGGCGGTGATCGGGCATTCAGACGACATGGCCAGTCCAGCCGAGTTGATGGTGCAGGAGCATTACTTCAGTGCTGGTGGTCTTTGCTTCTTCCAGCACGCTAACAATTTCCTGCAAGAGATTTGCAGAATTTTTTGAGGGCAACACTGATGGAATTGTTACAGAAGTTGAGAGTGACGTCTGTAGATATTCCATATTTTGCAGGCATATCGCAGGGTAGGGAGAAGAATAGCTTTATAGACATCTCCGTATGGATGTCCCAATTCTCAAACACTCTGCTTCATTCAGAAAAAGGCTGCACTTGCAGAGCTCAGGTGGTGTTGTATTTCAGTGTCAATATTAACTTTTGTGGAGAGGTGGCTGCCAAGGGAGTGGAAATGGTCGATGTTGAACTACAAATCCTTTGAGGGGAGGATGTTGTGTTCGACAACATAAGCACAACCTGAGAGTTGGAAGCCCAAACCTTTGGAGGGGCAGAAGTTTGACACCTTGGAGCCTGTGCCGTCACACCCAGACCCTATAAAAATAAAACTAAGATGTGCTTCTCTCTTTGTCTGAGCGGACCGCAGGGGTCTTTCTTTACACGCTTGAGATTCCCAGCAACTGAGGCTACTACAGGTTTTGAACACCAAAACAGAATATTTATTTCTCAAAGTCATTGCAGACTTGGCACAGCTTGTCAAAGTTACAAACAAAACAAAACCGTCAATTGGTGAAACCATAGAGATATTTCCTTCAGTTACTGAGGTAACGTTTCCCCAAATGGCAGAAAAAAAATCCTGGTATCTTTTCACCCTAACCCTGAGTTGCTATGGTTAGAAAAAGCAGGTTTTTTCCCTATCTATAGCTCAAGGTTAGCTTTGGAGATGAAGTAATGCTCAATAATACTCAATGACTCAATATCTATCTATAACTCAATAAGCTTCTTTATCTATATAACTCTATCTTTCTATCTGTAACTCAATTACTATCTATATCTCAGTCTCTAACTATCTATTTCTCAATTGTTCTTACAATGGTTTTTTCAGAGTTACCTGCCTGACCAACAGCACATCTGATGCTTTCTTTTCTACTGAAGGAGGCAGGGGAGATTCCAAAATGATCTCAACCCAGGAAAAAAGGCAGTCCCTAGACCCAAAGAGATATTTTTCTAAACCAATAACTGCAGAGGGCCTGCAGTCTGGCTTTCCAGACTCTGAAACTGTTTAACTTCCAGGGTGCTGCTGGGTCTGTAGCAACCCTGGGGAAATGTAAAGGAATGCTATCCCATGCAACTAAAAGGTAATGCAAACTATGCTCCTGGAAGACGGAACAGAGCCATAAAGTGCTAATGCTTTGACTCTCCTCTCCTCTGCTTTGCTTTGCCCTCTTGCAATGGGCCAACCTTGGGGACACAGATGACAAGGAAGCCCCTCAGAGGAAGAGGAACCTCCCCGTGGGAAGCTGCATCAGGGGGACTGGGTCTCACGCTTCCAGCGTTGTGTGGCGTCCCTCTTTCGCAAGGGCGTCTTCCCTTCACTGACGCAAGGGCCGCGTGTGCACTTCTCCTCGCCATAAACAGTCCACCAAGTGAGGCCCACCGGCAGCACAATCTACAGCTCTGGGACCAGACCATGGAGGACTGCACTGTGAAGAAGCCGCCACCTGTGCCAGGTATTCCATCATCCCCGAAGCCTCCCTCACAGCTACTCTCTTCTCTGTCTTATCTCCCTGTCTGGTTCACCTGAGGCTGCGCTTTGGTGCCTGCCTGTTGTAAGAGTGGCGATGTCTTGGCTCAGCCTTTTGTCAGTGTAGAATGGGGCTTTATAGTGGTTTAGGGGTGCTTCTTGGCAGGTAAGGGTGCAAGCAGTAGAGCATCAAGATAAGGGGAAGGAGGCAGAGCTACCCCCTCTATTTCAGGGCTCATTGCTGGGGACGGAAGCAGAGGGCCCAGGTTTCCTATCGTGTGGCCCTTTCGTCATTTAGCAGCAATGGGAAGTTACGCCGAGGACGTTTCAAGGAAGTTTAATTTTGGCATTCGGCATTGCAACACCCATTGCGACACCGTGGAAAATGTGGGTCCTGGTGTCACAGGTTCCTCATGGATGATGCTGCCAGGAGATCGCGTTGTCAGGGAGAGCCATTTCCCTAGGGATGAGGGGCTCTCACAGACCTCCTTGGGGTAACCCCTTCCTCCTCTTCTTCCTTTCCATTCTCTTCTCAGAGGGAGTGAAAGCTGTGGCCCAGGTGGTCGTCTTCAAGTCCCGGTAAGTAAAGATGCAAGAAGCCTTGTCCCGAACCTCTGTTCCGCTGGGATGGCCTGGTCGGGGCCAACAACCTCCTCTGCCCCAGATCCCCAGGGAAGCAAAGGCCAAAGGGGTCTCCACAAGTGAGCAGGCCCCTGCTTGCTCTTTGCTGCTTCTAGTGGTATTTGGGATAGTGGATCCACTCCAGACACTGCTTACAACTGTTGTAGTTCAGCCTGTGACTGTCATGTTCATGATGGGAATGGGGATGAGGGGTTTTCTGGACCTGAGTAATGTTGGCAATAGCGATGAGGGTTTGCCTGGGCCTGAGTTAAGTTCAGATGAGAGGCCCGAGGTGTCTTCTGCAGATTCACAAGGTCACATTCCTGGGAGAGGCCCTCAACAGTCTTTCTCTGAAAAACAACTGTCTTCTGAGGATGATTTGTCAGGTGCATGATTTAACAAGAGTGAAGATAGATGGCAAGACGTTTGTAAACAGAGGCAAAAGTTCTCAGACACATCGAAGGTCAATTGGTTTGCAAGAAAAGAGAGAGAAGAGATCCTTATGTTGTTGTAAGGGCAAGAGACATGCTTTCCTTTTGGTTCTGGGGTCAGGAAAAGCTTTATATTGTTACATAGGATAGAGTTGCCTCAGTCTTGTCAACGTTGGAATTTCATGACTCTTGTTTCCAAGTATTCCTAGTTTCCTGTTCCAAGTTTTGCCAGGCTCCTGATCTGTGTATTGAATTTTCATGCTGCCTTGTTCTATGGTTTTGTACTTTTGAATCTCGTGTGTTGCCTTATGCTTTGAAGTTCATTGACTATTCTTTATCTTGGGACTATACTGTTTCTTACCATTTTTATTGCTTTGCCTACATTTATTCTTCAATAAACTGCTTGCTGATTTTACCAAGCTGATGTGGTATTTAAGGTTAGAGTTCCTGCTCAGGAGTACAACAGCAACTTCCAGACTGATGGATCTCAGTGTTGTTGAAGGCTTTCATGGCCTGAATCACTGGGTTGCTGTGAGTTCTCCAGGCTCTATGGCCTTGTTCCAGAAGCATTCTCTCCTGACATTTCACCCACATCTATGACAGGTGTCCTCAGAGGTTATGAGGACAATTGAGAATTGAATTGAGAATACAGTTATAATGTCGTGAAGTAAAAGGAGGTAAGATTGAGGCAGGGGAGTGATGGAGCGTGGGGTTGTGTGTGTGTGTGCGGCGGCGGGGGGAGTGATGGAGCGTGGGGGTGCGTGTGTGTGTGTGCGGCGGCGGGGGGAGTGGGGTTGCGTGTGTGTGTGCGGCGGCGGGGGGAGTGGGGTTGCGTGTGTGTGCGGCGGTGGGGGGAGTGATGGAGCGTGGGGTTGCGTGTGTGTGTGCGGCAGCGGGGGGAGTGATGGAGCGTGGGGTTGCGTGTGTGTGTGCGGCAGGGTGTGTGTGTGTGCGGGAAGCGGCGCGGCGGGGCTTGGAGTGGGCATGGTTTCCGCAGAGGGAACGTTGGCCGGAAGGCCATGTGCGCGCGCGATGGAACTTGCGGCTGGGCGCCAATGCGCATGCTCAGTTGTTTTGCCGTTTTGTGAGTGTGTTGTGTTGTTTTTCATTTTGAGTAGATATGTTTGTACCTTGTGGGTTGTGTTATGGGCACGGGGATTTTAGTTAAGTTTCGTTGGGGGAGTTTTGAGTTTTGTTGTTTTGCCGTTTTGTGAGTGTGTTGTTGTGTTGTTTTTCATTTTGAGTAGATATGTTTGTACCTTGTGGGTTGTGTTATGGGCACGGGGATTTTGGTTAAGTTTGTTGGGGGATTTTTGAGTTTTGTTCTTTTGCCGTTTTGTGAGTGTGTTGTTGTGTTGTTTTTCATTTTGAGTAGATATGTTTGTACCTTGTGGGTTGTGTTATGGGCACAGGAATTTTGGTTAAGTTATGTTTGTACCTTTTGGGTTGTGTTATGGGCATGGGAATTTTGGTTAAGTTTCGTTGGGGGTTTTTTGAGTTTTGTTTCCTCGTTGGATGCCCCTAACAAATTTATATATATAGATAGAAAAACCACAAACAAAGTTTAAAACTTGGCATTGTGCTAAATTTCCTTTGACCAGAAGTTGGCTACTTGGAGTGCCTCTGGTGTTGCTGTGAAAAGGTCCTCCATTGTGCATGTGGCAGGGCTCAGGCTGCATTGCAGTCAGTGATGTGTGGTTTGCTCTTCTCCACACTTGCATGTGATGGACCCCACTGCGTAGCCCTATTTCTTAAGGTTGGCTCTGCATCTCATGGTACCGGAGTACAGCCTGTTCAGTGCCTTCCAAGTCACCCGGTCTTCTGTTTGCTCAGGAGGGAGTCTCTCATTCAGTATCAGCCACAGATTGACGTTCTGGGTTTGAGCCTGCCACTTTTGGACTCTCGCTTGCTGAGGTGTTCCTGCGAGTGTCTCTGTAAATCTTAGAAAACTATTTCTTGATTTAAGGTGTTGGCATGCTGACTGATATCTAAACAGAGGATGGGCCGGAGATACCTTGGTCCTTTCATTGCTGGCTGCTACTTCCCAGCAGATGTCAGGTGGTGCAATACCGGTGTAAATATCCTGTTTTAATGCGGCATGTCTCATTAAGAGCCACATCCACTGTTTTAATGTGGTGAGATGTATTCCACACTGGGCATGCATATTCAACAGCTGAGTAGCAAGCACAAGGGCAGATGTCTTCACTGTGTCTGGTTGTGATCCCCAGGTTGTGCCAGTCAGCTTTCATATGATATTATTTCTAGCACCCACTTATTACTTGATATTGAAGTAGTGCTTCTTGTAAGTCAGAGCACAGTCCAGAGTGACTCCCAAGTATTTGGGTGTGCTGTAATGCTTCAGTGGGATTCCTTTCCAGGTAATCCTCAGAGTTCGAGATTCTTGTCTGCTGTATTTTTTGCTGTATATTTTATGTTGTTCTTGGTTTGCATTGTTGTTGTTCCTGCTGGGAAGGGGGGCGGAATGCAAATAAAGTTTATTATTGTATTGTTGAAGGCTCCATGGCTGGAATCACTGGGTTGTTGTAGGTTTTTTCGGGTTATATGGCCATGTTCTAGAGCAGTGGTTCTCAACCTGTGGGTCCCCAGGTGTTTTGGCCTACAACTCCCAGAAATCCCAGCCAGTTTACAGGCTGTTGGGATTTCTGGGAGTTGGAGGCCAAAACATCTGGGGACCCACAGGTTGAGAATCAGTGTTCTAGAGGCATTCTCTCCTGACGTTTCACCTTCATCTATGGCAAGCATCCTCAGAGGTTGTGAGGTGACCTCACATAGATGCAGGTGAAACGTCAGGAGAGAATGCCTCTAGAACATGGCCATATAGCCCGAAAAAACATACAACAAGCCAAAGTTTATTATTGTTTTTATTATTATTATTTGAAACACAACAACATGGGAAGATGAGTCCACAGCAGACACTCTGCTGGCTGTTGTATTGGATCACACGTCGGACACTTCCCAATTTTTATTATTGTCATTGCAGGATCTGGGACATCAATCAGAAATCCCTTTATCTGCAGGACAATCAGTTGGTGGCTGGATACCTGCAAGGCCCTAACTCTGCAATGGAAGGTGAGTTGCCACTCAGAGCTCTGCATTTCTGATGAGAAATAAATAAAGAGGAGCAACAGTTCTTCCTTTGGCTGGACAGGTCCAGATTGGGAACAGAGCCTTTGCGGAATGGGGCACCATTGACATTGTTTGGGAATGCCACCTTTTTGGGCAGTGAACCCAAAGAGAAGCAAAATAAGAGTTTGTGTCTCTCTTGACCCAGCAGATGCTCTTTCCTTTGCCTCTTGGGTGGCCCTCAAGAACTACTATGAGGCCCAATAGTGCTCCTACCCAAACCAATATCATGTAATGATTGGTACTGGGCAGGACTGGGAAAAGGTAGGTTCACACCTTCCCTTCCATATCTGCCATTTTTCAGTGCTGTCTTCCCCTTGAGGTTGTTTTTGATGACATGGAAGGAGACAGAACACATGGGAAATGGAGGATGTGAGGGAGTGTCCACCACAAATATATAATAGTTTCAATTGTTGCATCTGATTTGTTTAAAATTGTCATTAGATTGTGTTGTTGTGAGCCATCTTGAGTACCCCACTGGGAGAAAGGTGGGATATAAAAAGAGCTAACAACAACAACAGTAACAACAACAATGACATGGGTAGGTTTAAAGAGTTGGGTCTGTTTAGAAGAGAAGGTTGAGAGGAGGCATGAAAACCATATTTGAATATTTGAAAGGTTGTCTTAAGGAAGAGGGAGCAGGCGTCCTTTCTGCAGCCCTGGAGACTGGGACTCAATAGAGCCATGGGTTCAAATGACAGGAAAGGAGATACAATCTGAACATTAGGAAGAACTTCTAGAGCTGTTCAGCAGTGGAACTCTCTGCCTTGGAGTCTGGTGGAAGCCCCTTCCTTAGAGGCTTTGAAGGAAGAACTTCTAGAGCTGTTCAGCAGTGAAACTCTCTGCCTTGGAGTCTGGAGGCTTTGAAGGAAGAACTTCTAGAGCTGTTCAGTAGTTGAACTCTCTACCTTGGAGTCTGGTGGACACCCCTTCCTTGGAGGCTTTGAAGGAAGAACTTCTAGAACTGTTCAGCAGTGAAACTCTCTGCCTTGGGGTCTGGTGGAGGCCCTTGGAGGCTTTGAAGGAAGAACTTCTAGAGCTGTTCAGCAGTGGAACTCTCTGCCTTGGAGTCTGGTGGACACCCCTTCCTTGGAGGCTTTGAAGGAAGAACTTCTAGAGCTGTTCAGCAGTGGAACTCTCTGCCTTGGAGTCTGGAGGCTTTGAAGGAAGAACTTCTAGAGCTGTTCTGCAGTAGAACTCTCTGCCTTAGAGTCTGGAGGCTTTGAGGGAAGAACGTCTAGAGCTGTTCAGCAATGGAACTCTCTGCCTTGGAGTCTGGAAGCTTTGAAGAAAGAACGTCTAGAGGTGTTTAGCAGTGAAACTCTCTGCCTTGGAGTCTGGAGGCTTTGAAGGAAGAACTTCTAGAACTGTTCAGCAGTGGAACTCTGTGCCTTGGGGTCTGGTGGAGACCCCTTCCTTGGAGGCTTTGAAACAGAGGCTGGAGGGCTTTTCCTGCCTGGCAGGGGGTTGGACTAGATGGCCCACGTGGGCTCTTCCAAGTCTATTATCCTATGAATAGCAATAATAATACCAGAATGCTCCTGAGAAGCTGATGGCGCCTCTCTCTCTCTCCCTCCCTCTCTCCTTGCCTTTTCTTTCTTCATCCCTCAGAGAAGTTTTACTGGGTCCACAACCTGGCCTTTGAGCACCAGAAATCCCCGGTCATCTTGAGCATCCAGGATGGGAAGAAGTGCCTGGCCTGCTCTCCGGGGGCCAAGCCTGCCCTGCAGCTGGAGGTGAGCCGAGGCGAGAGAAGCCGGGGCCTCACCTGCACCCACCGCTTGCCTTTGTGGCCCCCACCACTATATTCCCCACAAGAGGGTCCACCTGGAAGGGGTGTCCGTGTGCATGCGTGTGCACAGGGAGTCAGGCTGGCCCTGCTTGTCACCTGGTGATTCGTTCTGTAGCTTTGTTCTTAAGTTGTGGGGGGAATCCTTTGTTGGGAGGTGTTAACTGGCCCTGATTGTTTCTTGTCTGGATTTCTCTGTATTTTGAGTGTTCCCCCTTATTTACTGTCTTGATTTTAGAGGTTTTTTTTAATACTGGGAGCCAGATTATGTTCATTTTCATGGTTTCCTCCTTTCTGTTGACATTGTCTACATGCTTCTTGCGGATTTCAATGGTTCCCCTGTGTCGTCTGACATGGTGGTTGTGAGAGTGGTCCAGCATTTCTGTGTTCTCCAATAATAATATGCTGTGCCCAGGTTGGTTCACCAAGTGCTCTGCTACGGCTGACTTCTCTGGCTGGATTAGTCTGCAGTGCCTTTCATATTCCTTGATTCATGTTCTGTAGTTGAACTCATAAGTAAGTCAGAACAGGTACATAGTAAAATCCAGCCAAAACCATAGATTTTTTCACCTTTGGGTAGAATTGTTGTTCATTCGTTCAGTCGTCTCCGACTCTTCGTGACCTCATGGACCAGCCCACGCCAGAGCTCCCTGTCGGCCGTCACCACCCCCAGCTCCTTCACGGTCAGTCCAGTCACTTCAAGGATGCCATCCATCCATCTTGCCCTTGGTCGGCCCCTCTTCCTTTTACCTTCCACTTTCCCCAGCATAATTGTCTTCTCTAGGCTTTCCTGTCTCCTCATGATGTGGCCAAAGTACTTCAACTTTGTCTCTAGTATCCTTCCCTCCAGTGAGCAGTCGGGCTTTATTTCCTGGAAGATGGACTGGTTGGATCTTCTCACAGTCCAAGGCACTCTCAGAACTTTCCTCCAACACCACAGCTCAAAAGCATCGATCTTCCTTCGCTCAGCCTTCCCTAAGGTCCAGCTCTCACATCCGTAGGTTACTACAGGGAATACCATGGCTTTGACTAGGCGGATCTTTGTTGCCAGTCTGATGTCGCTACTCTTTACTATTTTATCGAGATTGGACATTGCTCTCCTCCCAAGAAGTAAGCGTCTTCTGATTTCCTGGCCACAGTCTGCATCTGCAGTAATCTTTGCACCTAGAAATACAAAGTCTGTCACGGCCTCCACATTTTCTCCCTCTATTTTCCAGTCGTCAATCATTCTTGTTGCCATAATCTTGGTTTTTTTGATGTTTAGCTGCAACCCAGCTTTTGCGCTTTCTTCTTTCACCTTGATTAGAAGGCTCCTCAGCTCCTCCTCACTTTTGGCCATCAGAGTGGTGTCATCTGCATATCTGAGGTTGTTAATGTTTCTTCCAGCAATTTTCACCCCAGCTTTGCATTCCTCAAGCCCCGCACATCCTCGCATGATGTGTTCTGCATACAAGTTAAAAAGGTTGGGTGAGAGTATGCAGCCTTGCCGTACGCCTTTCCCAATCTTGAACCAGTCTGTTGTTCCGTGGTCAGTTCTGGCTGTTGCTACTTGGTCCTTGTACAGATTCCTCAGGAGAGAGACAAGGTGGCTTGGGATGCCCATCCCACCAAGAACTTGCCACAATTTATTATGATCCACACAGTCAAAGGCTTTAGAATAGTCAATGAAGCAGAAGTAGATGTTTTTCTGAAACTCCCTGCCTTTCTCCATTATCCAGCGGATATTGGCAATCTGGTCTCTCGTTCCTCTGCCTTTTCTAAACCCAGCTTGAACATCTGGCAACTCTCGCTCCATGTCTTGCTGGAGTCTTCCTTGCAGGATCTTGAGCATTACCTTACTGGCATGAGAAATAAGGGCCACTGTACGGAAGTTGGAGCAGTCTTTCGCATTTCCCTTTTTTGGTATGGGGATATAAGTGGATTTTTTCCAGTCTGATGGCCATTCTTGTGTTTTCCATATTGGGTAGAATAGGGAAGGGTTAACACCCCTGTGGTGTTTGATTTGCTGTCCGTGTCCCTATTTAGAGGATTCCTTCTCACTTTCCATCCCTGTGAAGATTAGATTTTGGAAAATTTTGCTTCTTGTGGAAACAAGGATAGATAAACCTATCCTTGGTGAAGACCTCTTTACCCCATGATAATGACTCTTCCAGGAGTGGATTTTCCCTTCCTTCCAAGGGGAAGATTCCTTTCATGTCTTGTTGCCTCTCCCTGTTCTTAACTAAGTCATTTTCAAGCTGGATGTTTGTAACTCGAGGATGGCATGCATGTTCGTGATGAGTGTGTCACGGGCAAGTCTCTTCCTGGGCACCTGGGGCACTTCCAGTAGGCCTGGGTAACAACGGAAAAATTTGTTTCTAAAATCGATTTGTATTTGGGGGTTTTTTTTGTTTCGATATTTAAAATAATTACAAAATTTTCCTTTTAAAAAGTTCGATATTTACGAAATTTTGTAAATGGTAAAAAATTAACGAATCGATTTCCGAAACAATAACGAATCGATTCGTTAATGGCGGACGCGACCGCGAAATACGCTAAAAAACCTCCAAAACCTTCTGAAGCTTCCCTCTCCCTCTGTTGTTGACTGTTGGTGTGATATTATATTTTTTTTTCACTAATTAAACCATAAAACTGGCCCAGACATGCGGAAATAATAACGAAACGACCTCAAAACAATAACGAAACGAATACAATATCAAAATACGAAGCATTTACAAAACGTTTTTGAAAATTCGTTTTTTTTAATAATTGCTCCAGAATGGTTCGTTATCGTTTTGTAATTGAAAAAATTAACGAATTATTAACGAATTACGAATTAACGAAACGAAACCGCCCAGCCCTAACTTCCAGGAGTGTGTGTAGGGGATTACACACACTCTCCTCTCTGCTTAACTATCTCCCTTTGCCTTTTCTTCACAGAGTGTCAACATCACGGAGCTGCCCAAGAAGGGCCGCCGCCGCCAGGAGTCCACCCGCTTCACCTTCTTCCTCTCCAACCGGGATGGGATCTCGCGCTTCGAGTCGGCTGCCCATCCAGGCTGGTTCCTCTGCACATCGGCCAGGAGCAACGAGCCCCTCGCCCTCACCCGGGACCCTGGCCCCAACCATGTGGTGGACTTCTACTTCCAGCCATGCTGAAGCCTTTACCCCACAGATCCCCATGTGCCCCAGCACCGCAGAGCTGCTCCTATACAAAGATGCACCCTTCACTGTTCATTCTAGGCCAGGGGTCCTCAAACTACGGCCCGCAGGCCGAATACAGCCCTCTAAGGTCATTTACCCGGCCCTCGCTCAGGGTCAACCTAAGTATGAAACGACTTGAAAGCACACAACTACAACAATCCTATCTCATCAGGCAAAATCAGGCCCATGCTTCCCATTGAAATATTAAGTTTTTATTTGTTAAAAGTATTCTTCATTTTAATTATTTTATTGTTTTAAGTGTTTTTTGCACTACAAATAAGATATGTGCAGTGTGTATAGGAATTCATTCATATTTTTTTCAAATTATAATCCGGCCCTCCAACAGTTTGAGGGACTGTGACCTGGCCCTCTGTTTAAAAAGTTTGAGGACTCCTGTTCTAGGCTTATGTCATCTGCTAAGAGCCAGACTTCTTCTCTGGGCCACAGGATTTTTTAAAAATATTTTTATTGTGGTTTTCTTTTACAGTGTGAATTTAAAAAGACTTTGAGAAGGGGAAAGAAAGAAAAAAAATAGAGAAGAAAGGGAAAGGAGGGGAAACAAAGAAAGGGAAAGAAAGAAAATGAGAAAAAAGGATAAAATTATTGTGTTGATCTTCCCAATCTTCATCTTTGTGGTGAACATCAATTCATCCAGACGTCCCCTGGGCAACGTCCTTGCAGACGGCCAATTCTCTCACACCAGAAGCGACTTGCAGTTTCTCAGGTCGCTCCTGACACGACAAAAAAAAATCTTTGTGGTTATATACTGTTCCTTCTGTTTTTGCTTTTCTATTTGCTCCTCTTTCACCTGATGTCTTGGAGTGCTCATTTATTTTTCTCTAATATTATTATTGTTATCTACCCCTGAATATTCTTTAAATCTTCAAATTAATTTTAATATCTTTCATGTAATCCATTACTAATGTCCAATCTGTTGTTTTCAAGAATCTGCCTTGTGTTTTTGCTACTAAAAAGGTCAGTTTATCCATACTCAACAACAACAACTTTTTATTGATTAGCCAGTTGGCGTTATCAAAACAGACATACAAATACATCTAGTCCTCTTAAAATAAAATACAAATATACAGGTGTTTGTTACCTTGAATCTTGTCTATCCATAAGTCTGTAGAGGGTGTTTTATTTTGTCTCCACATTCTCGCATAGACGATCCCTCCGGGCCACAGGATAGACCATTGTGCTTTGGTATGCTTAATTCAGCACAGGGTCCCATTGGCCAGAGAGGGACCATCTTCCTGTCCCTTCAAAATATGTTTGCAATTCATTTTGCTTCTTTGTTGTTGTTCATTCGTTCAGTCGTTTCCAACTCTTTGTGACCTCATGGACCAGCCCACGCCAGAGCTCCCTGTCAGCTGTCACCACCCCCAGCTCCTTCAAGGTCAAGCCAGTCACTTCAGGGATAACATCCATCCAACTTGCCCTTGGTCGGCCCCTCTTCCTTTTACTTCCACTTTCCCCAGCATCATTGTCTTCCTTTCCTTTCTTCTCGTGTGGCCAAAGTACTTCATCTTTGCCTTTACTATCCTTCCCTCCAATGAGCAGTCAGGCTTTATTTCCTGAAGTATGGACTGGCTGGATCTTCTCGCAGTCCAATCACTCTTAGAACTTTCCTCCAACACCACAGTTCAAAAGCACCTATCTTCCTTCGCTCAGCCTTCCCTATGGTCCATCTCTCATATACGTAAGTGACTACGGGGAATACTATTGCTTTGACTATGCGGATCTTTGTTGCCAGCGTGATGTCTCTACTCTTCACGATTTTATCAAGATTGGACATTGCTCTCCTCCCAAGAAGTAAGTGTGTCCTGATTTCCTGGCTGCAGTCTGCATCTGCAGTCATCTTTACACCTAGAAATACAAAGTCTGTCACGGCCTCCACGTTTTCTCCCTCTATTTCCCAGTTGTCAATCACTCTTGTTGCCATAATCTTGGTTTTTTTATGTTTAACTGCAACCCAGCTTTTGTGCTTTTGTGCTTTCTTTTTTCACCTTGATTAGAAGGCTCCTCAGCTCCTCCTCACTTTTGGCCATCAAAGTGGTGTCATCTGCATATCCCTCGAATGGAGGTGAGAACACTGGTATACAAAACTACCAAATAAATAAGGTTGTTAATGTTTCTTCCAGCAATTTTAACCCCAGCCTTGCGTTCATCCAACTCCGCACATCGCATGATGTGTTCTGCATACAAGTTGAATAGGTTGGGTGAGAGGATACAACCCTGCCGTACACCTTTCCCAATCTTAAACCAGTCTGTTGTTCCATGGTCAGTTCTGACTGTTGCTACTTGGTCCTTATATAGATTCCTTATACAGGGATTCCTGAGACTGTCTATATGAATAAAAATGTAATGTTCATTTGTGAGATTAACATAACAAAACTCAAAAACCACTGGACAAATTGACACCAAATTTGGACACAAGACACCTATCAGGCCAACGAGTGACCATCACTCATAAAAACACTGAAAAACACAGTGGAAGGGGCTTAAAAAGCCAAAAAAATAAAAAAATACATTACAATGCGTGCGCATAACTACATATATGCACATACACACACACACATATATATACACACAAAAAACACATATACACAGGTTGGGCCACAGCAACGCATGGCAGGGGCTGGCTAGTCAGAAATATTTGTTTTCTGATGGTCTTTGGCAACCCTTTTGAAACCTGCTTGCAACCCACCATGGGTCCCAACCCCCAGGTTGAGTAACACTGCTCTAGTGTTTCAATGAAGATCTCATCATTGAGTCTCAACCAATTCAACATATTATCAAAGGCTTTCCTGGCCGGAATCACTGGGTTGCTGTAAGTTTTCCGAGTTGTATGGCCATTGTAGCAAAATTGCTACTCTATGTTAAAAATTTGGTGTATAGCTCTATGTTTACATATGGCAGATAGGGAAGAATAGGCACAGACAGGGTAGCAACAGCAGAGATAGGATTCATTTGCATATGGAAGCCGATTGGTCATATGCAGATTAGCGTAGGCCCAGGATTTGAACAGGTTGCTAGGCCAAAATGACAGTTGGGGAGAGCCGAGCTAAACATTCCAAAGGGGCGGAGCCAAAGTTTAAAAATAGGCAGTTAGAGAGTCAAAAGAGTTAGTTAGGATTTGCTGTTTGTGAGGTGCAGTTAGGAAGTTAGGAATTGCTGTTTGTGAGGTACAGTTAGAGAGTTAGGGATTCCTGTTTGTGAGAGACAGTTAGGAACTTCTGTGAGAGAAAAGAGTTAGGAATTCCTGTTAGAAATAAACAGTAATGAAGATGTGTTAAAGACTTCTGATATATATGGAAGCAGTTAGTTAAATAGATCTCAAGTTTTAGGAACATAAAGCCAGTGGTGCTTTAGTCAGAACATAATTTTAGTCAAGAGTGTGTAAAGCAAGTAACATGTTTGTGAATGAGAAACATTGAAAGTCTATTTCAGAAAAGTAAACCAAGTGTATTATACTGACTGTAAGTCTCAAGATTGCAACAAAACACAAATGTAACCACAAGCGTTTGGAGCCTGCAGTTATAAATAATCTGTGTTACTTTGTTATACAGAAGTGTGTCTCGGTGCCTGTACAAAGGTTAAACAGCACACAGAAAGTCCCAGCAAATATAAAAGAAGAAACTGAATCCTTATAAGAGTAAAGAGGTTTTTCTTAAATAAAGAAATAGTCTCCCTCCCTCGCTACAATATAAAATGGTGGCAGCGGTGGGATAGAAAATAAAGGTCTCCCCTGCCACACAACAGTGCCTATAATTCCTCACAGCCATGTTCCAGAAGCATTCGCTTCTGACGTTTCACCTGCATCTATGGCAGGCATCCTCAGAGGTTGTGAAATTTCAGGAGTAGAACAATAATTGTAAAGTAAGGACCACACTATTAAACATGAATAACTAACACTTTCAAACTAGGAGCACCTTCCCTGTCCTCTGCAGCACAAAAACTTGGCTTTGTTGGTAGGTGGGAGGGAAGGAAGGGCCTTTGCAGCAAAAGTGGGTTGTTGTTGCTGCAACTCCTTCTGTTGTTGTATGCCTTCCAGCTGTTTTCAATGTCCTCCTTGCAACTATACTCCTAAATAAATCCCCACAAATCGCATCAGGATCATCCAACAGAACTTTTGTATCACGCCTGTCTGCTTTTCCAAAGTTTTGTGTCTCCACAAAACTGTAGTATTTTGGGTGCTTTTTTTTCATTTTATGCTTTAAATTGTACCGCTCTTTGATGTTTTTCCCATCTCTTGTTATGCTACTCGCCAAAGAGCAATATGATAAGTGTTAATAAAAAAAAATTAACACCATCAGGGCTGGATTGCTCTTCACGGCGTGCATTTCCTTGCACCTGTCTCTCTTCGTTTTGATCATCATTTCCTGGGTTCATTAGAGTGGAACGCGTTCCGCTCCATGACAGGATGTTTGCTTCACTCTAGAACCCTGAACCAGGTTGCGGTGTTTCTTTTTCGACATTTATTTTTCTATGAAGTGGTTACAGATTAATCAAAACCTAAAGAAGGAAAAGGAAAATGCAGCTTTTCCTGGGTTGGGGGGAGGCTCCTGCTAAGGCTGAGAGGAAGACCAACCAATTGCTAGATGGAGGGGCTGCCTAGGTTTCCCAGGTCAGATGCACCACCAGAGGCTACAATAAATAATAATAATAATAATAATAATAATAATAATAAATAATATAAAATAATAATAAATAATATAAAAAAACAAGAAAACTGATGACAATCCACTACGCATTACATCCGCGTAGTGATGTCAACAGACTTTACCTGCCCAGAAAATCAGGAGGCAGAGAGAGGGCTTCTGCAAGTGAAACAAACAGTAGAAGAAGAAAAACATGTGTTGGCAGATTATGGCAGTCAAGAACCAACATTGAGGGAAGTCAAGAGTAGAATGCTTCAAGTGCAAAAGACAAAGAGGGAATACCATAAAAACACAATCCAGAGCAGAAGAGAAAATTGTCAAAAGAAGGCTCTCCATGGACAGTTCCTGGCAAAAATTGAGAGCCAAATTGACAAAGAAAAGACATCTTTGGCTCACAAATGGAACTCTGAAAAAGGAGAGAAAGGAGGGCCTGATTCTGGCAGCCCAAGAACAAGCCATTCAAACCAATGCCATCAAAGTCAGAATTGAAAAGTCGACAAAAGATCCCAAATGGAGACTCTGCAAGGAAGCAGATGAAACAATAGATCACATCCTCAGCTGCTGCAAGAAGATCGCGCAGACAGACTCCAAGCAGAGGCAGAACACCGTTGCTCAGATGATCCATTGGAAGTTATGCCACAAACACCATCTGCCTGCGACAAAGAACTGGTGGGATCACAAGCTGGAAAAAGTTACAGAGAATGAACACGCCAAACTCCTCTGGGACTTCCGGATTCAGACTGATAGTGTTTTGGAGCGCAAGACTCCTGACCTCACAATCATGTTAAAAAAACAAAGTATGGATTGTTGATATTGCAATCCCAGGCGACAGCAGGATTGAAGAGAAGCAACTGGAAAAGATGACATGATATGAGGATTTAAAGATTGAACTGCAAAAACTTTGGCACAAGCCAGTCAAGGTGGTCCCAGTGGTGATCAGCACACTGGGTGCAGTGACTAAAGACCTTGGCCTGCACTTAAACACAATCAGTGCTGACAAAATTACCATCTGCCAGTTGCAAAAGGCCATTTTACTGGGATCTGCATGCATTATTCGCCGATACATCACACAGTCCTAGACACTTGAGAAGTGTCTGACGTGTGATCCAATACAACAGCCAGCAGAGTGTCTGCTGTGGACTCATCTTCTTGTGTTTCAAAATAATAATAATAATAATAATAATAATAATAATAATAATAAAATCACACAGTCCTAGACACTTGGGAAGTGTCCGACGTGTGATCCAATACAACAGCCAGCAGAGTGTCTGCTGTGGACTCATCTTCTTGTGCTTCAAAAAATAATAATAATAATAATAATAATAATAATAATAATAATAATAATAATAAATCACACAGTCCTAGACACTTGGGAAGTGTCCGACGTGTGATCCAATACAACAGCCAGCAGAGTGTCTGCTGTGGACTCATCTTGTTGTGCTTCAAATAATAATAATAGAATATAATGATATATAATAATAATATTGTAATATAATAATACTGATTTAATTAACTATAATACTACTGAATATATAAAATGATATTCTGTTTTATTATTCTACATTTCTATATTTTAAGTTGTAATGTTTTTGATTGTGAGCCGCTTTGAATCTCCGTATGAAGAGATAAAGCGGGATATAAATATATATTTTTCTATATATATGGAACCCCCTAGTGGTGCAGTAGATTAAACCGCTGAGCTGATGAACTTGCTGACCAAAAGGTAAGCAGTTCGAATACGAGGAGCGGGGTGAGCTCCTGCTGTTAGCCCCAGCTTCTGCCAAGCTAGCAGTTCAAAAAGATGCAAATGTGAGTAGATCAATTGGTACCGTTCTGGTGGGAAGGTAAGGCTACTCCATGCAGTCATGCCAGTGGCTGCATAGCCTTGGAGGTGTCTATGCACAATGCCGGTTCTTTGCTTTAGAAATGGAGATGAGCACTAACCCCCAGAGTCAGGCACAACTGGACTTAATGTCAGGGGAAAACTTTTACATATACATGCACAGGGCCGCAGCCAGAGGGAGGGGTTTAAAAGTTCAACCCTGTCATGAAATGTGTCAGGTTAAAAAAGAAACCTGGTTTACTCATAAATTGGTTGACCAGTTAAAATTCATGAATAAACCAGGGTTGGGGGGGGGTTAGAACCCTTAAACCCCCTCCCTCTGGCTACGGCCCTGCATACATATATATGTGTGTGTATAAATGTAATGTTCGTTTGTGGGATTAACATAACTCAAAAACCACTGGATGAATTGACACCAAATTTGGACACAATACACCTATCAGGCCGATGAGTGACCATCACTCTTAAAAACATGAAAAACACAGCAGAAGAGACTTAGAAAGCAAAAAATAAAAAAAAATACATTATAACGCATATGCAAAACCACTGCACAAACTCACATATACACACATATACACAAATATATACACACACAAAGCACATATACACAGTCAGGCACAGCAAAGCGTGGCAGGGGACGGCTAGTATACAACTAAAAATTCAGCAATAACCCCAAAGGGTGTTGGGGAAGGCACGTGACCTTGGGCCGCTCTCTTTGGTGTCAAAGTGGCCCCACAAGAGGAAGAGGAGGAAACCGGGCCCCTGAATTGCATCAGGTTTCTGTGCGGTTGCCTCCACCGCTGGGACTTCCTGTTCAGAAGACAAGTGTCAGCGTCAGACGAGCCAAGTGTGGCAAGCGGGGGCCTTGCTTCGGGGGCCCCAGAGAAAGGGGAAGGCCCCGTCCTTCTGGGCCTTAGATGGTCCGTTTGCCATTCAGGAGGAGCCTGCTTCACAAGAGGCCCATTCCCTAAAGAGAAGCAGAGCCAAGCCACGGAGGAGCATCTGGCTCAGGAGCCCAAGCCGTCTGTATCTGGTGAGTCTATAGAAGGAGCAGGAGAAGATCTCCAATGGACTACCTAGAGCTCAGATTGGGGGTCTTCACTAGGACCTTCCAAGGAGGCTCCACTGGGCTACCTAGAGCTCAGATTGGGGGTCTTCACTAGGAACGCCCTTCCTATGGAGGTAAGATCAGCCCCCTCGCTAATGGTGTTCCATAGAAGATTAAAAACTTGGATGTTTGAACGGGCATTCGGTTAAACAGTGCAATGAATGTGATGATTACAGGAATGGAAATTTGGACGACGGATTGGATCACGACTCTAGTTATGAGATGCATTGTGTTGTCTATTGTTGTGTCAATATTGTATATTATGCTTTTATGGTTTTAAATTGTATATCGTTGATTGATTCTTATCCTTGTTGTAAACCGCGTTGAGTCGCCTGTTGGGCTGAGAAACTGCGGTATACAAGTAAAGTAAATAAAATAAATAAATAAATAGGACCTTCCAAGGAGGCTCCAATGGACTACCTAGAGCTCAGATTGGGGGTCTTCACTAGGACCTTCCAAGGAGGCTCCACTGGGCTACCTGGAGCTCAGATTGGGGGTCTTCTTCCAAGGAGGCTCCATTGAGCTACCTAGAGCTCAGATTGGGGGTCTTCACTAGGACCTTCCAAGGATGCTTCATTGGGCTACCTAGAGCTCGGATTGGGGGTCTTGACTGGGACCTTCCAAGGAGGCTCCATTGGGCTACCTAGAGCTCAGATTGGGGGTCTTCACTAGGACCTTCCAAGGATGCTTCATTGGGCTACCTAGAGCTTGGATTGGGGGTCTTGACTGGGACCTTCCAAGGATACTCTATTGGGCTATCTAGAGCTCAGATTGGGGGTTTTCACTAGGACCTTCCAAGGATACCCCATTGGGTTACCTAGAACTCAGATTGGGGGTCTTCACTAGGAACTTCCAAGGATACTCCATTGGGTTACCTAGAGCTCAGATTGGGGGTTATCACTGGGACCTTCCAAGGATACTCTATTGGGCTACCTAGAGCTCAGATTGGGGGGTCTTCACTAGGACCTTCCAAGGATACTCCATTGGGCTACCTAGAGCTCAGATTGGGGGTCTTCACTAGGACCTTCCAAGGATACTCCATTGGGTTACCTAGAGCTCAGATTGGGGGTCTTCACTAGGATCTTCTAATGATACTCCATTGGGTTACCTAGAGCTCAGATTGGGGGTCTTCACTAGGACCTTTCAAGGATACTCCATTGGGTTACCTAGAGCTCAGATTGGGGGTCTTCACTAGGACCTCCCAAGGAGACTCCATTGGGTTACCTAGAGCTCAGATTGGGGGTCTTCACTAGGATCTTCCAATGATACTCCATTGGATTACCTAGAGCTCAGATTGGGGGTCTTCACTAGGACCTCCCAAGGAGACTCCATTGGATTACCTAGAGCTCAGATTGGGGGTCTTCACTAGGACCTCCCAAGGAGACTCCATTGGGTTACCTAGAGCTCAGATTGGGGGTCTTCACTGGGACCCTCCAAGGATACTCCATTGGGCTACCTAGAGCTCAGATTGGGGGTCTTCACTAGGACCTTCCAAGGATACTCCATTGGGCTACCTAGAGCTCAGATTGGGGGTCTTCACTAGGACCTTCCAAGGAGACTTCTTAAGCTGCAGGAAACAGAAGGCGAAGAGGGAAAACAAAGAGGAAGAGGAGGAGGATGGGTGGTTTTGGAAAATGCCATTCATAACCTTTTGGGGGAAACTATAAATCTTTTGGAAAGGCATGACCTTGTTAGAGATTGTAACCTTTCTTAAAGTATGATCTTCCTGAGAAGAGTTCAAAACTCACTTGAATCAACCTTCTCCTTAGTGGCAAATATCTACAAGTATTCCTGCAAATTGGTCTTTGAACTGTTAGGAACAAAGATATGCCAATACACAAAAACATATATAGCAGAGTTTCAGAAGTGTCCTTTTCAGTTGACCCCCAAAATCGACTCTCCCTCAAAACATCTTAGTTTAAATCATGCTCTCAAGAGACCAAAAATAAGTAGATGTCATTAAAAGTAACAGTTGGTTTACTCACAGACTTCATGTATTCAGCATGCAGGTATATTGCATATCAATCCATTTACAGATAAGATTTGAAATAGTGATTTTTTTTTGTGATGCGTCATCTGTTATATGTCTCTTTGTTGGCATTGAAAGTCTGCCATATGTGTTAGAAACCACCCAGGAAGATAAGGCAGTCAATAAATAAATTATTATTATTATTATTATTATTATTATTATTATTATTATTATTATTATTATTTGATATGCAACAAGATGAGTCCACAGCGAACAAGATCCCTATGCTGGCTGTTGTATTTGAACACAAAAGATCCCAGTAAGGTGGCCTTTTGCAGCTGACAGATGGTAATTTTGTCAGTGCCGATTGTTTTCAAGTGCAGGCCACGGTCTTGAGGTACTGCACCCAGTGTGCCGATCACCACTGGGACTTCCTTGACTGGCTTGTGCCAGAGTCTTTGCAGTTCGATCTTTAAATCCTCATGTCATGTAAGTTTTTCCAGTTGCTTCTTGTCAATTCTGCTGTCACCTGGGATGATGATGATTACTTTCTCTGTGTAGATAACACAGGGCATCTTTCTTACAATCAGCAGTCCCAAGCCTAAAGCATCTCACTGTTCTGAGGGTCTAATGGAGTCTTTTCTCTGAAGCATTCTGTTTCTACTTCTAAAATATATTATATACAATAATATAATAATAAATATAATTGTAATTATATGATATAATATTATAATATAATAAAAATATAATATGCTATAGCAGGATGTCCCTCCTGCAGATATTCTTATTATTAGTAATAATAATATATGCTAATACAATAATTATAATTATAATTATATAATAATATAATAATAATAATATAATGTTCTATAGCAGGATGTCCCTCCTGCAGATAATTATTATTAATATTATAATAATTTAACACAATAATACAATAATATAATAATAATATAATATAATGTGCTATAGTAGGGTGTCTCTCCTGCAGATTACTAATAAGAATATGATACAATAATATAATAATATATTATATAATAATAATAATAATAATAATAATAATAATAATAATAATAATACATGTGCTATAGCAGGCTGTCCCTCCTACTGATAATTAATAATAATAATAATAATAATAATAAAAGAACAATAACAAAATAAATATAATTATAATAATATAATATAATAATGTGCTATAGCAGAATGTCCCTCCTTCAGATAATTATTATTAATAATAATATATAATAATTACAATAATAGACTAAGTATAATTATAATATAATATAGTATATTGTGCTATAGCAGAATGTTCCTCCTGCAGATAATTATTATTAATAATACAATACAATAATATAATTATTATAATAATAATCATATAATATATTATAATATAATAATATAACATGTTATAGCAAGATGTCCCTGCTGCAGATTATAATAATATAATAGTTACAATAATAGAATAATAAATGTAATAATATAGTATAAGTGCTATAGCAAAATGTCCCTCATGTAGATAATAATTGGTAATATAATACAATAATATAATATTATTGTATAATAATAATATAATGTGCTATAGCAAGATGTCCCTGCTGCAGATAATTAATAATATAATGACAATAACAGAATAATAATAATAATAATAATAATAATAATAATAATAATAATCTATATAAATAAAATGCAATGTTCATTTGTGGGATTAACATAACTCAAAAACCACTGGATGAATTGACATCAAATTTGGACACAATACACCTCTCAGGCCAATGAATGACCATGACACATAAAAACACTGGAAAACATAGCAGAAGAGATTTAAGAATCCAAAAAAAATAAAATACATTAAAATGCATGTGCAAAACCACAAATATACACATATATACACACAAACAAAACACATATACACAGACTGGGCCATATCAACGTGTGGCAGGGGATGGCTAGTAATATAATATAATGTGCTATAGCAAAATGCCTCTACTGCTGATAATAATTATTAATAATATAATAGTAATATAATTATAGGTGAAAGGTAGTCCCCTGACATTAAGTCCAGTCATGTCTGACTCTGGGGTGTGGTGCTCATCTCCATTTCTAAGCCGAAGAGCCAGCATTGTCCGTAGACACCTCCAAGTCATGTGGCCGGCATGACTGCATGGAGCGCTGTTACCTTCCCGCCGGAGCGGTACCTATTGATCTACTCACATTTGCATGTTTTCGAACTGCTAGGTTGGCAGAAGCTAGGGCTGACAGCGGAAGCTCACGCCGCTCCCCGGAATCGAACCTGTGACCTTTCGATCAACAAGCTCAACAGCTCAGTGCTTTAACCCACTGCACCACCGGGGGCTCCCGGTTATAATTATATCTATATATATATAAATGCTCTGGTCATAATGAGCGCCTTAAAAACAAACGAACCAATGAACAAAATCACACCAAATTTGGCAACAAAACATCTCACAATACAAGGAGTGACCATCACTCAAAAAATTATGATTTTGTCATTTGGGAGTTGTAGTTGATGGGATTTATAGTTCACCTACAATCAAACAGCATTCTGAACTCCATCATCGATGGAATTGAACCAAACTTGGCACACAGAACTCCCATGACCAACAGAAAATACTGGAAGGGTTTGTTGGGCATTGATCTTGAATTTGGGAGTTGTAGATCACCTACATCCAGAGAGCACTGTGGACTCAAACAATGATGGATCTGGACCAAACTTGGCACAAGCACTCAATACTCCCAAATATGAACACAGATGGAGTTTAGAGGAAATAGACTCTGACATTTGGGAGTTGTAGTCACTGGGATTCACAGTTCACCTGTAATCAAAGAGCATTCTGAAGCCCACGAACGACAGAATCAGGGCAAACTTCCCACACAGAACCCCCATGACCATCAGAAAATACTTAAGGCCATCCAATCCAACTCCCTTCAACAGGGCAAG